TTTTTTTAATTTTGAGACGTTTTGTAGAGAAGTTTATTTTAATTACAATAACAATAAAATTAATATTTAACACTTTAGAAAATATTTAAAGACAATAATTATTAAATAACATATTAAGAATAATTAAAATCAATCATATTTTTTAACAAAATGTTAATATAGGGGGATATATAATTATTTTCTTATTCATGTTTATCGTTTGATATTTTTAAACAATGAGGAATATTGATTAAAAGAAGTCAACGAGAACAGCAACACCAATAAACAGTATTGGAACCGAATCATAAAACTCCCCTTAATATTTTTTTCCACTACTCTCCACCTCTTTCACTGCCTCTCTCCCCCCCCCTCCTCTCTCGCCCCCAGCCACCTCTTATTCCCCCCATTTCACTCTCTCACCTTACGGGCTCGCCATAGCCCGTGCTACATGGACATTTCGTTCTGAGTAACTAAATCTAAAACAACAACAATAAACTCTCTCACCTCTCATCATCTGCTCCCACTTGTAAATCTAAACAACTTTATATTTGTTTAGTGACAAATATAAATACATATATAATATATATATATTATATATATATATATTATATATATATATATATATATATATATATATATAAAATATATATATATATTTCGTGGTAGACATGTACTGCAAGACAGTAGACACAGTGCAAGTCCAGCTCACTCCCAAACACAGTACCACCAGGAGACCGAAATGTTGAAATACAAATTCAGATAACAATTCCAAAATGAGAAGAAAATTGTTAAAATTTAGGCAAAATGAATATGGTTGTTAGAATTTTGTTCTTAAGTACAAATCAAGGTGAACAAATTCTAATTCGAGGCAAAGTAAAGATTAAGCAAGACGAGATGTGAAGGGTTGGCCACAGACGATCCCTTCTTGATTACATCTTCTGGGACGTCTGTTAAGAGTCCATCCTCGTGACGTCCTTCAAGAGTCCAACAGCGGGATGCTCTTCATGAGTCCCTCCTTGTGACACTTTATGGAGTCCATCCTCGAGACGCCCTTCAAGAGTCCTTTCTCGAAGTCCTACTTTAAGAAGCCATCATTCGAGACCTGATATCAAGTAGTCGTCCTGAAAACACAATTTCAAGAAGCAACTCACGATATCCCATTACTTTCTGAGTCCCACTTCAAGATCCCACTTCGAGGCGTCTTTGAGAGCCCACTTGAAGAGGGGTACCCATCATCCCTGCTTCTTCGCCTCCAAACCAATCCTTTTCTACCCCCATTCTATGACCAGGCCTCCCCACACCCATTTGGCTATGCCTATTTATCGCCCCCCCCTGTCAATATCTATCCCCCCCCACCTCTCTCAACCTAGTCATTATAGCATTCCTTCTTTAACCCATTTTCTTTAAATGTCCTTATCTCATTTTCTCTCATCCAATATTTACTTTAAGATCAATCGATCATGTTCGTTTTTATTATAACTATTTATATTATATTGATATTATTATTATTATAAACAGTAGTAGTAGTAGTATTATCATTATTGTTTTCATTGTAACAGTAATAACATCAATAACAACATTTGTTAGTACATTTTATTTTCCGAATAAGCACACGAAGAAGATCGAGTTAATTATAGAGCTCTCGCATACCCGGCTCTATTGCTCTCTTCGGTCACTTTCAACACATCTCACTCTTGCAAGAGGCAACTGTTGAAACTTTTCATTCAACCTGGACATCAATGGACAACTCCAGAGGTCCTTATGAAGGGACTTTAGCCCATAAGTCACTTGCCTGTAAAGGCCATACATGAAACACTGTCAAGAGGTGGGTTAAGCCTTTCTTAATGGGGGTCATCTCTATAATGAGAAATAAATTAGCTTCTTTTGTAATTTATTGTTAAATTGTTATGGTGGATAGTTAAAGCGATAGTTTCGTGGGAGGATGGTTGGTGTACGGGTAAAAATCTCGCTGCTGTTGTTGGTTTGTTGGTTTTTAATTGGGAAGGGAAGAGGTCACGATTGGAGAATAATGGTAAATGAATTTGTGATATTTGAGAATTGATAGTCTCTCCATCTTTCTCTTAAAACTAACACTGTTGTTAATTAGGAATTGTACTGATGGATCTTATGGAACAGGAAGTAATGATCTGCTATTCTGCTATATATATATATATATATATATATATATATATATATATATATATATATATATATATATATATATATATATGTTATATATAATATGGTTGTTATATATATATATATATATATATATATATATAATATATATATATATATATATATATATATATATATATATATATATTTGTTATATATATATATATTATATATATATATATATATATATATATATATATATATATATATATATATATATATATATATATATATATATATATATATATATATATATATATACTCACTGGGAAGCTCCGTGAGTAGGTTCGAACTTTCCTCACGGCCCTTGTGGATTTGTTCGTTTTAACTGATGATAATGTCCCAACTTACACATTTAACTGAATGTACCTGAGGGCCACTAATACTAGTGGCCTCGACGAGGACAGGAAGCTGGCGGCTTGTCGAAGATCCCCCCCATTTGACTTGATAATCTTTTCCAGCTCTACTTTAAAATTTAACAGAGTTTGGGCATTAGTCTTGATTTGTTGAGCTTGAAACCGTTGCTCCTCGTTCGTGTTACATCTGACCTTTTGAAGAAATTTTCCGGATCAACATCCTCCAAATTATTCAGTATTTTAAAAGTTTCAATGAGATCCGCCTTGTCCTGCCTGGTTTGTAGTGTTGTTATCCCTATGGCCCTCAAGCTCTTAGCTTCATGTGGCACTGTGGCACACAGGAGATATAACCACAACGTTTTTTTTAACTACGTTGTTTAAACATTGCATCAAACAACAATTATGAAATGTATTTTGTTGTTAAGTTGTGTGTTTAGTGGGATTTTATGCTCTGAGGTACAGGGGGTTTGAGGGGGGACAAGAAGAGATAGTGTACAAGGAAGAAGAGAAAAGAGATGGGGTATAAAGTGGGTAAAGAAGGAGATGGGGGAGAGGACGAGGGGAAAGGGGAAAGGGGGGAGAGAGAAGTGAGGGGTATGTGTGTCTTGTTATTATGTGTATGAGTGTGTATATGTATCCACTATTTGCTGCCTATATCCCAGGTATCTATTTACAGTAGCTTGATGAGGACAAGCATCAGGTGAAAAACTCTTCGAATTTATTTAAAATATAAGAAATATTGAGAAGAATCGTGTTAGAAACATTGATCTTGCCCTTTCGGTCATATTCAAAAAACATACATATATATATATATATATATATATATATATATATATATATATATATATATATATATATATATATATATATATATATATATATATATATATATATATTCAGTATATATATATATATATATTATTAAATATGACCGAAAAAGTAAGATTAATAATTCTAACACGAATTTTCTCAATCTTTCGTACATACGAAAGATACGTACGAAAGACTGTACGAAAGATTGAGAAAATTCGTGTTAGAATTATAAATCTTACTTTTTCGGTCATATTTAATAATATATGTCTACAGGAAAGACTGCTACCAAAATATACTAATATATATATATATATATATATATATATATATATATATATATATATATATATATATATATATAATATATATATATATATATATATATATATATATATATATATATATATATATATATATATATATATATATATATATATATATATATATATATATTATATATATATATATATATGAAAGTTAGGTTTGGAATGACAGTGTTGTGGGCCACAGCGACGTGGCTGGTGTGGCCGCCGAGAATGATTGACTCGTTCACTTTATTTTTGCCAGTTGGGCTGTGTGTTCTTTCTTTTTTGTATTATTGCTGATATTTTAAATAGTGCCCAGAGGCACCATAGCCCGTCACTTGTCATATATTATTGATATTGTGTTTGTTAATTATTGATTTCATTATTACACCGGATGTTATTGTTTTAGGGGGTGGACACAATTTCGAATTTCATCTAATGTTATTAACAGAAAAGATAAAAATGCTATATTGGATTTTTAACGTTATTGACATATGCAGTTAACAACAATAACGTAATATTCTCTATTAAAAATCGTTGAAAACACTAAATATTGGTTATGAGGTATCCTTTTACGTAGCGTCGTGGGTCAGCAACAGATACCTTTTATATATACACTAACATGGCTCCTCATTAACATGGAGTCATTATTTTTGACATATAAATATCAAACCGGCAACTGACAGAAGTAAACATCAAAATTCTGCTCACAATGGGCGGCTTCCAGCCAGCACAATATGAATGCAAGTGAGCACCCGCTGTATCCACAGTCTCTGAGGGGCTCAAACTGCACCGTATATCAAGGGCTCAACACACATAAAGCGAGGGGCTCAACACATAAAGCGAGGGCTCACCAATGCACTTCAAGAGCACACTTACGCTGAATACCAATATTATTGTCAGGCAACTGATTCAAAATGACTATATAAACAGGCGATGAGTCACAATAACGTGGCTAAAGTATGTTGACCAGACCACACACTAGAAGGTGAAGGGACGACGACGTTTCGGTCCATCCTGGACCATTTTCAAGTCGATTGTGACTTGAGAATGATCCAGGACGGACCGAAACGTCGTCGTCCCTTCACCTTCTAGTGTGTGGTCTGATCAACATGACTATATAAATGCTATAGACGTGGTCTTTACCCCATAATTTGATATTTCTATTTCTATCACTTCTATCACAAAAACTTTTCCCCTCCCTGAAAAGTGACTGAAAAGGTAGTTAAATCCTGGAACTTTACGACTTTTATATATTATCTAATGACTTTCCTGACTTCACACTAACATCTTGCCTCCCACGGTACACAGTTTATCTCAACACGTGAACTGCCAGTTGTAATCCTGGCTGACGTCTGATGCGTTTCAGACGTTGGATTTATCTATATTACTCTCTTATCTGTTCGATGTTGAAAATACAGCTGTGTTCATCGATGTTGAAAATACAGCTGTGTTCATCGATGTTGAAAATACAGCTTTCATCGATGTTGAAAATACAGCTTTGTTCATCGATGTTGAAAATACAGCTGTGTTCATCGATGTTGCAAATACTGCAAATATTCTATTAGGCGATGTTTAAATGCAGAGATGATCAGAGTGAAATCTTTCTTAAAGATCCCAAGGAAGGTCAGGTTATCTTGAGATGATTTCGGGGCTTTAGTGTCCCCGCGGCCCGGTCCTCGACCAGGCCTCCACCCCCAGGAAGCAGCCCGTGACAGCTGACTAACACCCAGGTACCTATTTTACTGCTAGGTAACAGGTCCCTAGGTGCTAGGTGCTAGGTCCCTCTTACCTTCTGCTTCCTAATAAATAGGTTGCCCTGATGGCTCTTTCTTCTTAAGAAGCAGGTCACATTTACTTGTAGTCTTAGACCCAACCACTTGGACAGGTTGGAACAGCGGTGGACCTGCTTCTTTCGGGTTATTGTTCGATCCCCGATGTTCCAAGAGGCTGTGCACCATTCCTTCCCTCCCTCCGTGAGTCCTATCTCAGATCCTTGTCCTCACATCTCTTCCTAGTGAGATGTGAGTCAGTATAGTCATACTGGCGTATGACTATATTAGTACTCTCTCATAATAACTTTACCTGGTGGACTTAAACTTGCGTCGGACGTAGAAACAATGGGCAGAGTTTCTTTCACCCTATGCCCCCTGTTACCTAGCAGTAAAATAGGTACCTGGGTGTTAGTCAGCTGTCACGAGCTGCTTCTTGGGGGTGGAGGCCTGGTCGAGGACCGGGCCGCGGGGACACTAAAGCCCCGAAATCATCTCAAGATAACCTCAAGATAACCGCCAGTCTCTTGAGAGCAGCTCCAGACTCTTGCTACGGCTCTTTGTCTACTTTGGGCTAACACCATCAACAGTCTAACCATTCTAAGAGTCGTCTAAGAGCACTAATGACTGAGAGCGCGCTTCTCACCAGGATTATATGCCAAGTGAGGTCTCAAAAGCCAATTGAATGCGCGGGCTCTCACAACTCTGTCATTGAGCATTTTTGCTGATCGATTTTTCGCCTCTCATTCAATCACAGATAACCTTAATGTCACCTTTCCTCATTGGCTTACACACATCAGGTGACACCGCCTTGGAAGTTACCTCAGAGTCCCCCATGAACTCTGCTATCTCCTCAGGAAGACAAATAATGCGGTAAATAAATCATAAACGTTATCATACGTTATCATACGTCCAAACTTTAACCAAATATCACCTATAACATACGGAATTAAGGGCAAATATAACATTCTCTCAAGAACAGTATAATATATGGTATATTATTTGACACACATAACATCATATCACTAAACTTGAACTCACTAGCCTCTTGATTTCTCAAAAAAAACTCCTAACCTAAACGGAAACTGACAAACCCAACCAGCCCACCTAACCTAACCTAACCTAACCTAACCTGTCGAGACCGATGCATAGAAAACGTAAATATTTGTAAGCCTTTTCAGAATAGGCTGAATAGGTAACGTTGGTTACGCTAACGTAACAAAAACGAGACCTATTAGTTGAGATAACGGATGATAACTGTTGAGATAACTAACAACAGTACCGGCGTAAAAGCGTATTCTAACAAGAGTGCTGACGTCATTAATGAAAAAAATGTCGCTGAAATCACGTTACCAAAGGATAAGAAAGTGTTGCGTTACTGGGAGCCGCGCTGACGTCACAGGTAACTAATGTGACGTCACAGGTAGCTAACATGACGTCACAGGTAGCTAACATGACGTCACAGGTAGCTAACATGACGTCATAGGTAGTTAATATGACGTCACAGGTAGCTAACATGACGTCACAGGTAGCTAACACGACGTCATAGGTAGTTAATATGACGTCACAGGTAACTAACATGACGTCACAGGTAGCTAACATGACGTAAAAAATATGACTTCTGACGCTCTCGTCAGGTGTTTAGATATGACGCGTGACATATCTGCCTGTCACGGACAAGACAGACGCCAGGTGTGACAGATCTGTTTGTCTTGGACAGTAGCTCGAACACGTGACACACCTGTCTATCGGATCCCGGTAACAGTTCGAACGCAACATGTATCTCTGACGTCATCAAAGTGGAAGGGAAGGGAACTATCAGGGAGGGAAAGCGCCAAGCCATTACGACTATATAGCACTGGGAAGGGGTCAGGATGGGGATTTGGGATGGGACGGGGGAAAGGAATGGTGCCCATCCACTTGTGGACGGTCGGGGATTGAACGCCGACCTGTATGAAGCGAGACTGTCGCTCTACCGTCCGACCCAAGTGGTTGGGTATCATCAAAGGGAAGTATGACGATATCAGAGCGGAGTGTGACGTCATCAAAGTGAAATGTGACATCATCAGAGTGGAGTGTGACGTCATCACATTCCGAGACAGTGTTGCCACGCGTCACCCTCCAATGTTATCATTATTTTGTTTTCTTTCAAGAAAGCGTATATCAAATTAGAGAACATTTATTTCAATAGTTTGTGTTCCTTTCTTCTCTTTGTTTTGTCAGCCTTTAAGTTGATTTGTCAATTGCACTGAATGTTGCATCTCAAGAGTTGTGTCCCTCTAGCGAACAAGGGAAGGTATGGTTGTACATTTGTAATCCTGCATAAGTGTCCACGTAAGGAAATGACACTAACATTAACAGAGGGGTTGAGCTCTGGCTCTTTAGCCCCGCCTCTCAACTATCAATCAACTGGTGTACAGGTTCCTGAGCCTACTGGGCTGTGTCATGTCTACATTTGAAACTGTGTATGGAGTCAGCCTCCACCACATCACTGCCTAATGCATTCCATCTGTTAGTTACTCTGACACTGAAAATATTCCTTCTAACGTCCCTGTGGCTCAGTTAGCTACTCAGTTTCCACCTGTGTCCCCTTTGTTCGCAACCCTCCCGTGCTAAACAATTTATCTTTATCTACCCTGTCAATTCCTCTGAGAATTTGATAGATAGTGATCATATCTCCCCTAACTCTAGTCTTCTAGTGTCGTGAGGTTCAGTTCTAGCAATCTTTCCTGTAGCTCATACCTCTCAGCTCGGGGACCAGCCTGGTGGCATATATCTGAACCTTTTCTAACTTCATTTTGTGTTTGACTAGATGTGGATACCAGGCAGGAGCCGCATATTCCACTATTGGTCTGACATATGAGGTATACAAGTTTCTGAATAATTCCTCACACAACTTTCTGAAGGCAGTTCTCATGTTCGTCAGTCTTGCATACGCCACTGATGTTATCCTTTTGATGTGGGCTTCAGGGGGACAAGTCTGGTATGATATCAACCCCAAGTGTACTTATGTGTACTTATCCATGTGTATATTTACGTGTTTGTACGTGTATGGCATGCCAATATATTTTTTTTTATTTAAGATTAGTGTACGGATGGGATGGAAATGTAATAAAAAAGGGAAGGGGGAAAGGAAAGGATGGGGAATGAGGCTGAAGGAAGGGGGTTGGAGTGAAGGGAGGGGGGTGAAGGGGGGGTGGTGAAGGGGGGGTGTAAGCCTATTTTACCTTCCGTTTTCTGTCATTTGTTTACCTTTTGGTTTCTGTTAATTTTTACCTTCCTTTTTCTGTCATTTGTTTACCTTCCGTTTTCTGTCAATTTTTACCTTCGTTTTCTGTCACTTATTTTGGCTTCCATTTTATTTTCACGTATTTTGCCTCCCAGATTCTTTCATTTATTTTACTTCCCGTTTTCTGTCATTTGTTTTACCTTCTGTTTTTTTTTTTGTTATTTAATCTCCCAATTCAATAATGTTAAATTCCTGTTTCATAAATTCGTGTTACTTCCTGCTTCATAAATCTGTTTTATATTATTTTTCAAACATCTGTTTCTATTTGTTTTTAGTCATAAATATGCGTTCATTTTTGTTCACGTGTGTTCCAACTCCTCTTTACTTTCAAACATCAGTTTTCTTCTTGGTTTTCTGTAATGCCTAATATTTATTTTCCTCTTTTACGTAAACTTTTGGCGACCATTTTCTATGATTATGTTTAAGCTACCCCTTATTCATTTATGAAACTCACAAATGCTTTTAACTCTCAGATAACTTTCTCCAAAATCTTAACTGCAAAACTTATTGAAATTGATCAAAATTGATCACACTTCACTAACTGGAACTCAGGAGCACTATCACCAGTAAGTCACAATCAAAGCCTCAAATTCCCTGGAAACACAAACCGAAACTGTCTCTATTTTCCGCTTGTTACAACTTGTAATAAAGTTGTTACATCTTGGCATAACGTGTTTATGACGTGTTAGAACGTTGTTACAACTTGCTATATTGGTTGTTATAACTGGTTAGGAGGTGTTAAAACTTGTTCGAACGTTGTACCAACGTCGTAGTTTTCGGTAGTATTGGAGCCGGTCGGCCGAGCGGACAGCACGCTGGACTTGTGATCCTGTGCTCCCGGGTTCGATCCCGGGGGCCGACGAGAAACATTGGGCAGAGTTTCTTTCACCCTATGCTCCTGTTACCTAGCAGTAAAATAGGTACCTGGGTGTTAGTCAGCTGTCACGGGCTGCTTCCTGGGGGTGGAGGCCTGGTCGAGGACCGGGCCGCGGGGACACTAAAGCCCCGAAATCATCTCAAGATAACCTCAAGATAACCACCCTGTGCCCCTGTTACCTAGCAGTAAAATAGGTACCTGGGTGTTAGTCAGCTGTCACGGGCTGCTTCCTGGGGGTGGAGGCCTGGTCGAGGACCGGGCCGCGGGGACACTAAAGCCCCGAAATCATCTCAAGATAACCTCAAGAACCTTGGTGTGTGTTTGGCGGGAATCCATTCTTCACCAGAAAAACTCGTTAAATACGAACAACTTTAGCGTTTAACCTTCCGCTATTTGGCCTGTGCTTTCTAAACCCCCAAAACCCTTTTCCCTGCTGTTATGTTCTCTTGTTATTGATTCGAGATAGTTCATTATAGGGGGCGATGTGGCCCATTGTAATGTGTTGCGCTTTCATATGTTATAGGGGTGGGGGAGGGCCGGGAAGGTCAAGGGTCATTTGGTGATACGAAGCGTCATTTATCTCGTTCGCTAATTTTTAGACAATGGGGGGGGGGGGGGCGGTCAGTGTTCTAGCTCACATAAGGCCAAGAGATTTATCATTTCCCTCGTTTATTGAAGGAATGGTCAGGTAAAATGAAATTTTGTTTATTGGGGGAAAAGATTAGATACGGTCAGTTAGTTGGGCAAAAGGTCATGTCTAATATATATATATATATATATATATATATATATATATATATATTATAGAGAGAGAGAGAGAGAGAGAGAGAGAGAGAGAGCGAGAGAGAGAGAGAGAGAGAGAGAGAGAGAGAGAGAGAGAGAGAGAGAGAGAGAGAGAGAGAGAACAATGTTTTTAAAAAAAATTCCTTCAACGATTTGTTTTCCTTTCACGGGTTTTGAAGTTATTACGACGAGTAACTTAAAGAAAACACATATTACAAATCCCACAACTGGGAACATGGACCCGAGCCCGTGACAACATTGACATACATCAGAATCACGCGAATGATTTCCTTATTGGAAATTCAATACTTTTACCAGATTGAAAATATTGCTGCTAAAAATTTAAATGTCAGACTTTAAAATCTTTACATAGATCAAAATTACGCAGGCAGTTATAACCATTATGAGAAATAAAGAATCATAGACACATTTAACAGCCACTTCTAGAATTTTAAACCGTTGCCAGAACTAAATTTTTTAATAAAGAATTTTAATGTAATTTCCAGCATTAAAAAATAGCTCCAAGAATGACAATTCACAACCAGAATTAAAAACTAACAAATTAAATTACTACTCCCAGAATTAAAATCTTTTACACAAAAACTTCTGAAATATACAATAGATAAACCTGGAAGGAGTAAAAATTCCCAACATTGACCATTTCCAGAAATAAATCGGCAAGCAAAATTTAAACCCACAAAAAAAAATTAAACTCACAACTAGAAATAAGAAAAAAATAACGAAAATAAAAATCAACAGCTGGAGTTTGCAATAAAAATGCATTTCAGCTGATCCTACCTTGTCATCCCTTTAGCCCCTCCCCCTTTCCCCATTACTCCCCCTTCCCCATTACTCCCCCTCCCTTAACCCTACCCCAACCCATGTTGCTGCCTCACCCCCGCACGCAACCGTCAGACTCATAATTGGAGAAAGAATACAAGATCGCCTGGAAAATTAAGGAAAAGATGCGATGGTCGAAATACCTGGGGGTCAAAGGGAGTTGGAAGGTGCTTCTTGATTGGTCAGATTTATGACCAATCAGCTGATAGCATGGCGGATTTTTTTTTTTTTAGGATGAACTGGCGTTATTTAGTTATTAATTCTTATTTTATTATTGGTTAGTTAGCCAGAAGCTCTGATCCCAGGCAGGAATATCACGAAAAAAAGTAATTATTAACATTTTTGGGTGTAATAATTTTTGATATAATAGTTGATGGGTTATAATGTTTATGGAATATGAATAATGTTGAGAAATGTTGTCTCTCTCTCTCTCTCTCTCTCTCTCTCTCTCTCTCTCTCTCTCTCTCTCTCTCTCTCTGACCAGACCACACACTAGAAGGTGAAGGGACAACGACGTTTCGGTCCGTCCTGGACCATTCTCAAGTCGATTGTAAGAATTGTCCAGGGCGGACTGACCGAAACGTCGTCGTCCCTTCACCTTCTAGTGTGTTTTGTGGTATAGTCATCTCTCTCTCTCTCTCTCTCTCTCTCTCTCTTCTCTCTCTCTCTCTCTCTCTCTCTCTCTCTCTTCTCTCTCTCTCTCTCTCTCTCTCTCTCTCTCTCTCTCTCTCTCTCTCTCTCTCTCTCTCTCTCTGACCAGACCACACACTAGAAGGTGAAGGGACAACGACGTTTCGGTCCGTCCTGGACCATTCTCAAGTCGATTGTAAGAATTGTCCAGGGCGGACCGAAACGTCGTCGTCCCTTCACCTTCTAGTGTGTGGTCTAGTCATCTCTCTCTCTCTCTCTCTCTCTCTCTCTCTCTCTCTCTCTCTCTCTCTCTCTCTCTCTCTCTCTCTCTCTCTCTCTCTCTCTCTCTCTCTCTCTCTCTCTTTCTCTCTCTCTCTCTCTCTCTCTCTCTCTCTCTCTCTCTCTCTCTCTCTCTCTCTCTCTCTCTCTCTCTCTCTCTCTCTCTCTCTCTCTCTCGAATTTACTGGCAAATAATAATAATTAAGGCCAGTTTGTACAGCTCTTATCATCATATTTATTGACATTTGATGTTCACTGGATAAGGCAAGTAGCGCCTGAGATGTCCGTTCAGCCAGTTATAACGCTTCATGACCAGTGTGGGATGGCTATTGGCCAGTACTTATGACGGGCGAGTCTGATTGTCCAATCATAAAGTTTTCTGTCAAACGAGGGTGTTTATTGGTTAGTGCGTATGGTGTAGGCATCCGAGGAACTAATCATAAACTCCCATGATCAGGGAAGTGGTGATTGGTTGAGGCTCATGGCGTGATAAAGGTTATCACGTTATCTTAAGTTTTGGTGTGATGATTCAGGACGGGTTATGATGATTTACCCATCGTAAACTTTCACGGTAAGTGAGTCTGATGACTCGTTAAATGAGAAGCCGCGAGGGTGATGATTTGTTGACTGTAAAGGCTGATGATTTGTTGATTGTGAAGCCCCGCCGGTGATGATTTGTTGATTGTAAAGGGTGATGATTTGTTGACTGTGAAGCAGAGGGAGGGAATTATGAAGGAGAAAGCGCCAAGCCATTACGACTATATAGCACTGGGAAGGACCCAGGATAAGGATTTGGGATGGGACGGGGGGGAAGGAATGGTACCCAACCACTTGGACGGTCCGGGATTGAACGCCGACCTGCATGAAACGAGACCGTCGCTCTACCGTCCAGTCCAAGTGGTTGGGGAGGATAATGATTGCTTCCTCTTAAGTGAACGGAACTGCTACATATATATCACCAGCTCCAAATACAACAGGAACTAATGAAGCAATATAAAAGATAAAAAAAAACTGTACAAGAAACAAATGAACGGATAATGAAAACTTTGGATGATGATTCTACCTTTTGTCATGCGATGATAAAACGAAAAGAAATGGTGAAAAAATGTTTAAATGTCGAATTACGGTTGAATAATGAATATGACGTCTTGAGGAGAGATTTCCAGGAGGACATACAGGAAGGACATTATCCAAGAATAAAAATATATGAGACGGGAAAATTTTTTTGGAACTATGAACGCTGATTGTCCAGCAACTGTGGTGGTGGGTCTTTCTGCCCCCCCCCTGGGTGGGTTGTGGTGGTGGGTCTTTCTGCCCCCTCCCCCCCTGGGTGGGTTGTGGTGGTGGGTCTTTCTGCCCCCCCCCCCCTGGGTGGGTTGTGGTGGTGGGTCTTTCTGCCCCCCCCCCTGGGTGGGTTGTGGTGGTGGGTCTTTCTGCCCCCCTCCCCCCCTGGGTGGGTTATGGTGGTGGGTCTTTACCTCCTACCGGTGGGTACTTCACACTGTCCTGCTCAGAGGGAGGTGGGTTATACCCTCAAGCAATATATGGGAATTGTCTGTCGAAAAAGCAAATCATTACACGTAGTCAAATGTTGCATCAATGTTGCTATAGGAGCGTCTAGAGACTAGCGCAAGTGTCTTCTAACCCCCAGTGTTCTTCCTCAGGGAAAGATGGCCGGGTAAGCAGGCTGGCGGCAAGTCACGGGAGCCGGGAGGGCAGTGGGGGCCCGGGTGGGGGCGGGCCCACCCCAGGGGGCGGCATCCCCGGCACCAGCGGGCCACCCCCACCCTCAGCAGCTGGCACTGCTGGAGGCACTGCCCGCCGGGGAGGCACGACCACCGGACAAGGCGGGCCTGGTCGAGGTCCCTCGTCGTCGGGCCAGGTAGGAGGCGGTGAGGGTGGCCAGTATGGTGTAGGTGGCCCTGGGGGTGGCCCTGGCGGCGGCGGCGGCGGGGGTGGCGGCACCCTTGAGGACACCCTGGAGCAATGGAGTCGGAACCCGCTACTGTGCTGGCTGTGTGAGGAGCTGTACGACGAGCCCTGCCTCCTGGCCTGCTACCACACCTTCTGCACACGCTGCCTTAGACCCAGGCTCCACGACTCCAAGATCGTCTGTCCACTCTGTGGGTAAGTCCTGTCTTGTCCTATTGCCTTAGTGCCTACCTCTGTGGGTAAGTCCTGTCTTGTCCTATTGCCTTAGTGCCTACCTCTGTGGGTAAGTCCTGTGTTGTGTTATTGCCTTAGTGCCTACCTCTGTAGGTAAGTCCTGTGTTGTCCTAATGATTTAGTGCCTACCTCTGTGTATATATCTCTTTCATAATCCGTCTACTTCTCTCTCTCTCTCTCTCTCTCTCTCTCTCTCTCTCTCTCTCTCTCTCTCTCTCTCTCTCTCTCTCTCTCTCTCTCTCTCTCTCTCTCTCTCTCTCTCTCTCTCTCCCTGTTCACAAACTGGTATTCCCGTCTTGCTGCCTTGCTCTAGGGGTACTTGAGTACCGGTGACGTGACGGAGTACCATCATTATCATCCCTGTGACGGGGGCCGCCACCCTAATGATACCTCATTATCCCTTCCTCACATTGCTTCTCTGTCTCTCTCTCTTTGCCTCTCATCACCCTCTCTCCGTCACTCATAACCCCCTTATCTCCTCTTTCCGTCACTCATTACCCTTTCTCTCCCCCTCTCCGTCACTCTTAACCCCCTTTCTATCATTCGTAACTCCCTCCCCTCTTCCTGTTACGCATATCCCTTCCCTCGTCCCCTCTTCGTCACGTTATTACTCCTAAATACCATCTTGAGGTTATCTTGAGATGATTTCGGGGCTTTTTTAGTGTCCCTCGCGGCCCGGTCCTCGACCAGGCCTCCACCCCCAGGAAGCAGCCCGTGACAGCTGACTAACACCCAGGTATCTATTTTACTGCTAGGTAACAGGGGCATAGGGTGAAAGAAACTCTGCCCATTGTTTCTCGCCGGCGCCTGGGATCGAACCCAGGACCACAGGATCACAAGTCCAGCGTGCTGTCCGCTCGGCCGACCGGCTCCCTCTATGACCATGATTTATTATTGTTAACCGTACGTCAACCAGTGTACCACAGTTCACCACTAAACCATAGATCAACAGTGCACCACACCACCAAACAATAGGTTGCCCAGACCACACACTAGAAGGTGAAGGGACGACGACGTTTCGGTCCGTCCTGGACCGTTCTCAAGTCGATTGTGAGAATGACGCGAGAATCGACTTGAGAATGGTCCAGGACGGACCGAAACGTCGTCGTCCCTTCACCTTCTAGTGTGTGGTCTGGTCAACTTACTTTAGCCACGTTATTGTGACTCATCACCTGCACTAAACAATAGGCTACAGATGCTTGCCATTGCCATGATAAACCTTTGAATTATCCAAGCAACCAATGAAGGGCTGACGACGCTCCGCCCTTGAACGCGGCAATATGGCGACCCAAAATGGCAGCAAATATGGCGGGACATTTGAAGTCAGTCACTGAAAGACTTTCATGTTCTCAAACGGCTGCGGCTGTAAATAACAGGGAGAATGTCTTATGGCATTTACAATATTTTACCGTTTATGATCCAATCAGCTTAATGCTCTATAATCTCTAGTGAAATTGTTATTTCTCAGCAGCTAATCAACGAAAAGCCTATTTTTTTTCAGCCAATAGAAGTACGTTTTGGAACCATCGACAAACGTATTAGTGAGAATACGAGAATCGTTAATCTATTAATCTATCGTTAAAACGAGAATCTATTATATTGTTAAACGAAGGTCTTCTCAGGAACCAATCAGCGTGATTTTTATATTGTTAAACGAAAGCTTTCTCTGGAACCAATCAGCGAGAGGCTTTCATGACTTCAAAATCTCTGCCATTTATGAACCAATTAGCAGGAGGCCATTAAAGCGCTGAACGCATTTTTGACTTAAGAATCAATCTGCTGAAGGCTTTCATAGCGGCGAATATCTTTTGTTTTCATTTACGAGCCAATCACCAAGAGTCTTTTAAAGCGGCCAATTTCTTTGTTAGTTATGAGCCAATCAGTTGAGAGGCTTTTAAAGCGTTGAACGAGTGTGCGTCACTTAGCAGCCAATCAACGAGAAGCTTTGATGATTCCGAACACTCAAGTGTTCGGAATCGTAGAGCGAACTGACGAGAAACAACTGCCATAGTATATATTAAAACCATTTGACTACTCACCGAAAGCGTCAGAAATGGCTTCTTCCGCTTCAACGTTATCAGGGCCCGTCCCAGATAACAAGATGTTTACATTGTGCTATTTCGGAGATAACCAATCACATAGCTCGCTCAATGACGTCACTCGCCCGAATCTCTTTAGCTCACCTTACGGAGGCAAGACAGAAAGCGCCAGCGACCTTTGACACGGGAGAAACGACCAGTCAACAAAAGTATTGGATTAAGCTCCATACCTTTGATGCCGTGAAAGCCGAGCCCTCCAGGCTTGATGCTCCTGTGACGTCACTCACTACTGACACGAGCACCCACAGGAAGTATTAATGGCGTCATCCGCCCCGGCCACACGCCGTGGAGAAGCGTAGCGGGTAACCAATTAGCTAAAAGCATCCGTAAGGTCAGGCGTCTCGCTCGGGAAAGGTCAACAACCAGAGAAAGGGATCAGGACCTATGACGTCTGCGCTCACAACCAATGACGTCAGGCGCTCAAATATGAAAGGTCACCAGGCCTGCTGGAAGCAGCAGCGGCAACGTCACTCTTCTATAATAAAATTCGCAAACCAGCGAGAGGCATCGATGACGTCACGAGCCTTGCATACTGCAGCCAACCAATCAGCGAGAAGTAAGGCTGATGGCCCGGAGCTTGGCGCACCAATCCGCGACGAGCAGTGATGACGTCGCACACCTTAAATCCATTGGAACCCACCAACCAGAAAGAAACATCAGTGACGTCACACCTCATACACTTTGCAACCCAGCTATTCGTAAATTTCCGAGAATAAAATATGAAATCTTTACCCACCGTTCCCTCTCTCTCCCCCCCCCCCTTCCATCCTGCCCCGTCTCCCTCCCATCTCCTATCCCATCCGATTTACATTTCCCCTCTCCCATTACCCCTTCCGCAAATTGATAGGGAAAGTTTGCTAATCCTTCTTAACGTTCAGATTATCGCCAAGGTTCTGGCAATAAACTAAAAAGGGGCGCATCACACAGCTGGATTAAGCGAAGGAGAGGCTGATGGTGAAAGCCCAAAGTTGCCTCATTAGAATTTTTTTCTGTAGTCATTACCTGTTGTGGCTTCTACAGCTGCTGCTTCTCAGACGGGCACAGGGTTGACTTCTTCCTCCTGAACGCACGTTCACGCACGCATACACGCATTGTGCCGTGTCCGCGGGTTCGATTCTCGCAGCAGGACAGATGCGTTGGCCAAAATACCCGTTTACCTGATGCCTCTGTTCATCTAGCAGTAAGACAAAGAAATGTAGCAAAGATTTAGTCAACTGTTGTGGGTTGCATCTTTGCAATGGTCAGTAGTTGGTCTAGCAGATATGATTGATTGAGTAGGCCGGATCTCATTATATTAGACAATAGGCAGTTGGAAAGCCATGGGTCCAAGAACAGATGGATTGATTTTTCAGGCTCAAATAGTTGAATATAAATAGGTGAATACACACACACACACACACACACACACACACACACACACACACACACACACACACACACACACACACACACACACACACACACACACACTTACACTTTATCTCAAAGAACATCCACGTATGAACAGCTCAGCGCCTCAGAAAAACAAAAAGGAACAACTTTGAGAGCGGACACAGACACCCTTGTTTACATTCCGTTTGTGTTGTCTTATATTTCAAGTGCGCGCCTTATTTTCTCAAGACTGCAAGATATTGGGCGCTGGCGGGAAAAACGGGCCATTCCATTGGTCCGTACGAGACAGCGACAACCAATCACACACCACTCGACGTCTCTCTTTCTAATATTCCCGCCAGAATCCTCGAATGGGAAGCGTCGATGGTAATATATTTCGTTCCATTGAATACACATTATACCTAAAAAAAAAAGTCCTACAATTCAGAGGAAAAAGTTGAGACTGCCAACACTTATTAAGAAAATCGTTTGAGTTAGATAAATCAGGAGTGGAAACCTGTTCACCAGTTGATTAAAAATTGAGAGGCGGACCAAAGATCCGAATAATGAGCAAATGTAAATGGGATCAGATAAGTGATTTATAAATCTGAATATTTTTTTATCCACTCTGGGGGAGATTCTGAAAATGTTTACAACCATATTATAGGACACACATGCAACTAATCGGTTTGTATATATATATATATATATATATATATATATATATATATATATATATATATATATATATATATATATATATATATATATATATCCATAGAACACATGCAACAAACTAGTTTATACTACCGTAGACAACTCATGCAACATAAGAGGTCTACGGTAGACAATTTCTTCCAAGACAATTTCAAACACACGTCAACTGACGTACACATGAGATAAACTCACGCAACGATGCAAAAAATATATACCTTTGCGTCAGGGAAAATTTGCGTATGCAGGAAAAAATATACGCATTAAGATTACGTTTTCATTAAAGTCGCTTAAAAAATTGACGTATACAGCAAAGACGTTTAATTTGACGTAAACATGCAAAATATTCACGGGAAGACGTAAATATAAACGGATTTATGAAAACACAATCCAACTTTCTTACTTAAATAAACGGACGCAGACAGACGGACTTAACTGTATCCACACCGCCAGGCCAGGGGCGGACTGGTTCAGACCCCACCAGCCCAGAGGCGGGCTGGTTCAGACCCCGCCAGCCCAGAGGCGGGCTGGTTCAGACCCCGCCAGCCCAGAGGCGGACTGGTTCAGACCCCGCCAGCCCAGAGGCGGGCTGGTTCAGACCCCGCCAGCCCAGAGGCGGACTGGTTCAGACCCCGCAGGCCAGGGGCGGGCTGGTTCAGACCCCGCAGGCCAGGGGCGGGTTGGTTCAGACCCCGCCAGGCCAGAGGCGGGCTGGTTCAGACCCCGCCAGGCCAGAGGCGGGCTGGTTCAGACCCCGCCAGGCCAGAGGCGGGCTGGTTCAGACCCCGCCAGACTAGGGGCGGGCTGGTTCAGACCCCGCCAGACTAGGGGCGGGCTGGTTCAGACCCCGCCAGACTAGGGGCGGGCTGGTTCAGACCCCACCAGGCCAGAGGCGGGCTGGTTCAGACCCCACCAGCCCCTCGTGTCTTGAAATATTTCGCCATTTGCCTACGCTCCTCTGACCGCTTTGTCTCTCTCGTTTCATTTTTCACCGATTTTTCATAACTTTTTTTTTTTGCATATACCTGTGTGTCTGTCTGTCTGTCTGTTTGCATATTTTGATAAAGCTTTCCTTTACTTTTATCTCCCTTTCTCCTGTCCATCGCTTACTCTACCGTCTCTTTTTTTTCTCCTAAACTAAAGCTAGGGCACAGTAAGAATAATTTTGATGTTCACAATGTAGCTGCGAGCTAAGAGCTGTTATCCGACATTAGCATAATTGAAACCCGTCTCTAGAAACGTATTTAAAGATAAATTGATCTTGAAATTTATTTCAAGAGTTTATTGTTTTTTACAGAGCGAGAGAATTGTGTTCCAAATGTGAGGACACACACACACACACACACACACACATCTTCGACTCCCTCCAGAAGGACTCATGTTCCACAATATATTATTGTAACATTTGTATTGATTTTTATTGGCTAAATATATATATATATATATATATATATATATATATATATATATATATATATATATATATATATATATATATATATATATATTATATATACAAATTTGGCCACTTTTAGTAATTCAATCAGATCTTCTTCCCGAGAGGCCGCTGCCAACATGTACTGCCACACAGGACACACATCACACATTCTGAGCTCATCATGGGTCAGTGGGTAGTGTGTATGCTTGCGGAGTCCACGGTCACGAGTTCGATCCCATCGTATTGCCTCAATATAGACATATCCCGACGTATTATTTAATTTTGCATTATAAATAATATTTCCTTGACACAATTTATGTACAGTTTTGACTAATTTTGCACATTTCAATCACTATTTTTGGAATTGATCAGGACATTGATTGATGCATAAAATATGTTGTCTAAATTTCAGAAATGAATGGCATTAAGAGGATAGTGTTTAGGGGTGTTTACAACGTGCCAGAGACAATGAGTTGCATAGTTGATTATACAGTAGACAAAGAGGGCTACAATCTTGTACAGCTTCACATTCAATTACATAGTGTTGAAGTGAATGTTTAAATGGAACGTCTGTGAGTTCACCTTGTATCCGTCTGCCCTCCTCCGGGAAGACACGAGTGTCTCACGATGTCTCGATGTCCCGTGACCAGGAAGGTGACGATTGTCTCACGATATCTCGACGCCATATCACCAGGAAGGTGACGATTGTCTCACGATATCTCGACGCCATATCACCAGGAAGGTGACGATTGTCTCACGATATCTCGATGTCACGTCACCAGGAAGGTGAGGAGTGTCTCACGATATCTCGATGTCACGTCACCAGGAAGGTGACGATTGTCTCACGATATCTCGATGTCACGCCACCAGGAAGGTGACGATTGTCTCACGATGTCTGTGTCTCCCTCTGCAGGAAGGTGACGGGGCTGAAGGAGGGCCAACTGCCGCCCCGGGACAACTTGATGGTGTTCCTGGTGGAGTCGTCGTGCGAGGAGCGACCTCAGTGTGCCAACTGTGATAAAACTAACCAGTCCGCCATGTTCTTCTGCAACACCTGTGGTGAGTGTGTGGGGGAGGACCTGTGGGGGTGTGGGGGAGGACCTGTGGGTGTGGGGGTGGACCTGTGGGGGTGTGGGGGAGGACCTGTGGGGGTGTGTGGGTGGACCTGTGGGTGTGGGGGTGGACCTGTGGGTGTGTGGGGGAGGACCTGTGGGTGTGTGGGGGAGGACCTGTGGGTGTGGGGGAGGATTAATAGTTGTGGGGAGTAGAGCCAGTGGGCTGGGAGGAGGTTGGATGGGCATGAATGAGGGTTGAGGGTTGATGGGGATTCTGTTAGTAAGTAATGAGTAGAAAGCGCAAAGCTAGTATGGCAGCACATGTGTGTGTGTGTGTGTGTGTGTGTGTGTGTATTGGTGGATGGGTTTGTGTTTCGATGGGTGTGGGTGTATAATGACGGGCGCGAGGGATTTGTAGGCGTTGTATATCTACATGTATAAATGAGTGGGTGGGTATGCGTGTGGATTTTTGGGCTGATGTCACTGTGTTTGGGCGGGAAACCAGGGCACAGGCAGTTGAGGCCTTTCAAGTAATCAGGAGCGTTATGCTCCGTAACATTTCTTACTTCATTTATCATCTGGTCAACATCTTTCTTATTCCTGCTCTTAATCTCTTGTCACTGCTTCTTGGGGGAGCTGGTGGCCGTGAGTTTATATGTGATTGAGAGATGCTGTCTAACGCAGGTCAGGTGCTGTGCGGCCACTGCAGGGAGGAGACCCACAGAGCCAGAATGTTCTCCCTTCACGACATCATACACATGTCTAAGAGAGGCAGAGAAGTCAACAGGAAGGTGGGTGCCCCTCTAATGTCATCTCTCTCTCTCTCTCTCTCTCTCTCTCTCTCTCTCTCCTCTCTCTCTCTCTCTCTCTCTCTCTCTCTCTCTCTCTCTCTCTCTCTCTCTCTCTCTCAAGTTCCTCACTTCAGGAGGACTCCCTTGTGATAAACCAGTTAAGTGCCCTAATAAACTTAATTGTTGCAGGCAACACAATATCCAGAATTTTCGCTTATCCGGCAGCAGCCGTCCCAATTAAAACGAATAATCAGATTTTACAATATTTCATCCGGTTTTGAGTGCATGTTGGTAATAGGACGCGTGCTTTATTACACACACACGCACGCACACACACACACACACACACACACACACACACACACACACACACACACACACACACACACACACACACACACACACACACACACACATGTACGCTTGTATTAGGATAGCATTTAGGGCACTGTTCTGCTGGCATGAGGCACCATCAAAGAACCTCCACCTACAGATAAACTTGGCCATGCTAGGTAAAAGGTCAAAAGTCTGCCAGTCCTTTTACTCAAGAGAATAAATCATAATTGTAAAATTTTTATTTTCCTATTTTTTTTAAATTCGGCTTCCTGGTGGTGCCCCGAACTCATAGTTTATGCCTTTGTAATAGTCTCCCAGGACACGTTTTCTGTTAACTATCGAATTATTGGGTAAAATTTCCCGATTTGGCCTGCTCTGGGGAACGACGCCCCCCACTGCCCCCCGAATGCAAGTATGGCAGGAGGAGTAGAAGGCAAACCGAGAGTCCCCCTAATATTTGACAATATTTGGTTTACAAGCATAAAAACTTCCCAACTGTTGTTATTGTCATAAACAGCCTCCTGGTGCTACGCAGCTCATTAACTGTTTAATAATTGTAAACAAAGCCGCCAAATGCAGACGAGGAGTCACAATAACGTGGCTGATGTATGTTGACCAGCCCACACACTAGAAGGTGAAGGGACGACGACGTTTCAGTCCGTCCTGGACCATTCTACAGTCGATTGTGAGAATGGTCCAGGACGGACCGAAACGTCGTCGTCCCTTTACTTTCTAGTGTGTGGTCTGGTCAACATAGCCGCCAAAGCTTGAGAAAAGATGTACAGGTTCGTAAGTGCTTGCGTAACTGCTTTGTGACGCTGACCCCAGGGGCCAGATTCACGAAAGCACTTATGCAAGCACTTACGAACGTGTACATCTTTCCTCAATCTTTGACGGCTTTGGTTACATTTATTAAACAGTTTACAAGCATGAAAACTTGCCATTCAACTGTTGTTATTGTTATAAACAGCCTCCTGGTGCTTCGGAGCTCATTAACTGTTTAATAATTGTAAACAAAGTCGCCAAAGACTGAGAAAAGATGTACAGGTTCGTAAGTGGTTTCGTGAATCTGGCCCCTGGTCAGCAAGGCTCCCAGACGCTCGCGGCAGCAACAACACATCTGTATGAACTCATTAACTTGCAATCAGTCTGCATCCACACAATTCCCCCTCTCTGTCTCTCTCTTTCTCTATATATATATATATATATATATATATATATATATATATATATATATATATATATATATATATATATATATATATATATATATATATATATATATATATATATATATATATATTTATATTGTTTTAATGCTCTAATTTTCTCACTCTAGTTATTCTCAAGGAATAGTTCAATGATGGTTAATGGCAGACAAGCACTGAGGATTCCAACCCGTCCTCGACTCAAGTCCATTACATTCAGCGGTCGGCCCCACAGACGCATTCATAAATTTTAACATGCTGCTCATTCAAAACGGGAATTTTCTCAAATATAAATTAATATTATAATATATTAGCAGCATATTGTGTATATATAGGCATAGGATAGGTTAGGTTAGGTTAGGTTAGGTTAGGTTAGGTCAGGTGTTTAGGTTCTGTTGGCGATTATTTGTATTTGTAGTACGTGGGTGAAGCATTTATAGCGTTGTGATTCGAACAAAATTCGTCAGTGAAGCACTTGTTCCGGATATGTTCGAACGTCAGCAGTTGTGAGTCGTGTGTAACAGCCCGTCCGCCAAACAAAGATCCAAAAGTGATTCCATGCATCCGCCAAACCCCCTGTTTATGAATGAAAAGCGGTTTACACACGACTCACAACTGCTGACATTCGAACATATCCGGAACAAGTGCTTCACTGACGAATTTTGTTCGAATCACAACGCTATAAATACTTCACCCACGTACTACAAATACAAATAATCGCCAACAGAACCTAAACACCTGACCTATCCTATGCCTATATATACACAATATGCTGCTAATATATTATAATATTAATTTATATTTGAGAAAGTTCCCGTTTTGAATGAACAGCATGTAAACATTGATGAATGCGTCTGTGGGGTCGACCGCTGGATGTAATGGACTTGAGTCGAGGACGGGTTGAAATATTCCTCCCTAAAGGCTTCGCACACGTACTGGAAATACAAATAATTCTCAACAGAAACAAAGTACCTGTGTAACCTACCAGAGGTTTAACGATACACTAAACTATAATATATAATAATATTTATTTGAAGAAAAAAATTACAGTAAATAAAAATATACGATATCGCCTGTAGCAGGGACATGATACCTGGTTGGATGGGGTTCTGGGAGTTCTTGTACTCCACAAGCCCGGCCCAAGGCCAAGCTTGACTTCTGAGAGTTTGGTCCACCAGGCTGTTGCTTGGAGCGGCCCGCAGGCCCACATACCCACCACAGCCCGGTTGGTCCGGCACTCCTTGGAGGAAACAATCTAGTTTCTTCTTGAAGATGTCCACGGTTGTTCCGGCAGTTGCAACTTGGACGAGCATATCCTTAAGACGGGTTAAATGTACACTACACACATATATAAACCTTGATCTAATTCACTGCTCATTTCTCACGAGCTGATTATCGTATATTTCTCACGAACTTTATGCTTTATGCCTCATAATGTCTTCAGCCTCGCTCCGTGAGCGTGTTCATGACTGCTCGTCTGCCTGGCCTCTCCTCGCTTTTCTCTGTGCCAACAGTGCGCCATGCATGGTGAGCCTCAGATCATGTTCTCCACCACCAAGAGGACCATGTTGTGTATCACCTGCTTCAGGGAGTCCTCCATAGACGCCCGCCTACACTGCATTGACCTCGACACTGCCTATACCCAAGGCTGCAAGAAACTCGATAGAGCGGTCATGGTAAGTATATCTGCAGGGACGTGTGTGTGTGTGTGTGTGTGTGTGTGTGTGTGTGTGTGTGTGTGTGTGTGTGCGTGTGTGCGTGTGTGTGTGTACTCACCTAGTTGTGCTTGTGGGGGTTGAGCTTTGGCGCTTGGGTCCCGGCCCTCGACTAGAAGCGGGATAGTGTGTGTGTATGTGTGTCCGCTAGATGTCTCTTCATGGTCTGTGATGACTCCTTTGATATTCCTGTTTTCTCTCTCACTGCGTTGTTGGCTATATTTCTGTTAGGCATTTTTTCTTCTTGTTTGACAAGGATCAGAGAAGATGCGTAAACGCTAGTTTGCTTCTCATTCTCTCTTTCCGCATATATATAAGTGTATAATATCTCCTACTTCTCTCTCTCTCTCTCTCTTCTCCTTCTCTTTCTCTTCTCCTGCTGTTTTGCTTCCCACTCTTCCTGGGTGTACACTGAGGCTCCTGGGTGTACACTAAGGCTCCTGGGTGTACACTGAGGATCCTGGGTGTACACTGAGGCTCTTGGGTGTACACTGAGGCTCCTGTACACTGAGGTGGGTGTACACTGAGGCTCCTGGGTGTACACTGAGGCTCCTGGGTGTACACTGAGGCTCCTGGGTGTACACTGAGGCTCCTGGGTGTACACTGAGGCTCCTGGGTGTACACCGAGGCTCCTGGGTGTACACTGAGGCTCCTGGGTGTACACTGAGGCTCCTGGGTGTACACAGGAACCTGGGTGTACACTGAGGCTCCTGGGTGTACACCGAGGCTCTCGTAAGTACACTCATGATGTTCCAACTTGGCCTGGTCTACCTCTGGTCGGGGTCTACCTCGCGGGCCACCGCCCTCGATAACCTAAATCCATTTGGAATCGTATTTTTTCGAAACTATAAACATGTTTTTCTATGGAAGATAATTTCTGTTTTATTGAGTTACAATTACTTTCTCCAGGTTGAAACAGCTGATTTTGTAAACATTAAAGTTTTTCAAGTTACAATTTTTTTTGTCTTTTGTAACATATTAGGAATACTCGGCCTTCAGTGATGTTGACTGAAATGTGGACAAAACAGGTAATTGTTTTGATTGAAGTTATCGGCAAAGTAATCAACAAATTACCTGTAAATAATCACAGCTGAACAGAAATCCATTGTGTATAAAGGAAACTGTAAGTGGGTCCACGACGGGCCTCCCACAGCCCCTAGGGTCCACGACGGGCCGCCCACAGCCTCCAGGGTCCACGACGGGCCTCCCACAGCCTCCAGGGTCCACGACGGGCCGCCCACAGCCTCCAGGGTCCACGACGGGCCTCCCACAGCCTCCAGGGTCCACGACGGGCCTCCCACAGCCCCTAGGGTCCACGACGGCCGCCCACAGCCTCCAGGGTCCACGACGGGCCTCCCACAGCCCCTAGGGTCCACGACGGGCCTCCCACAGCCTCCAGGGTCCACGACGGGCCTCCCACAGCCCCTAGGGTCCACGACGGGCCTCCCACAGCCTCCAGGGTCCACGACGGGCCTCCTACAGTCTCCAGGGTCCACGACGGGCCTCCCACAGCCCCTAGGGTCCACGACGGGCCTCCCACAGCCTCCAGGGTCCACGACGGGCCTCCCACAGTCTCCAGGGGTCCACGACGGGCCTCCCACAGCCTCCAGGGTCCACGACGGGCCTCCCACAGTCTCCAGGGGTCAACGACGGGCCTCCCACAGCCTCCAGGGTCCACGACGGGCCTCCCACAGCCTCCAGGGTCCACGACGGGCCTCCCACAGCCTCCAGGGTCCACGACGGGCCTCCCACAGCCTCCAGGGTCCACGACGGGCCTCCCACAGCCCCTAGGGTCCACGACGGGCCGCCCACAGCCCCTAGGATCCACGACGGGCCTCCCACAGCCTCCAGGACCCTAACAGTCTGTTGTTGTTTTAGATTCAGCTTCTGGGAACAAAACATTCGAGGTAGCACAGGATATGGTGAGCCCGTAGTGGACTTACCTGGCACAGGAGCGAGGCTGGACGATGATTCCAACCCCTAACAGATAATATCGTAAATCCGGACAAACATTCGTCTTAATGTATCATCAAGAGAAATGACGTTTGTTTTCTTTTATTTTGCTCATATTTCTCTTATTAAAAGTTGTGTTGGTCTCTATTTGTTCACGGAGGTGCGACAGAGGCTCTCAGAATGGGTCTCATTACGGGCTCAACGATGCTTAACAACCGCGTCATTTGAGTGCCTACTTCAGGGGTGCTCAAGCTCTCATTTGGAAACACGAATGTGCTCTTCTAACGCGCCACATTTACCCAATAAACGACGCTGAAACAAAATTGCAAATATCCAATTTTGTTCGACGATGGTCGTAGAAAATGAGAAGCGGCCGCCTACGTAGGATTTGATAACATTTGTGTACTTACAATTACACATGATAGGGTGGTTAATTTGGGGTCTGGTGATTAGGAAGTGGGAACTGGGCGTCAGTAATTAAAACTGGGGATATTAAATTGCCATTCTTGACGATTAGGTCTCGTTCGTTCTTCCCGTTTTCTTTGTGGTGAGGTGTTTAAGAGATAGAGAGATGTGGCGCTTGGGGAGAAATGGTTGTGGTGGGGTTGGGGTTGTGGTGATGTTGGGGTTGTGGTGGGGTTGAGGTTGTGGTGTTATAGTTATGGTAGAGTTGTATTGGTTGTGATGTAATGCACAAAAAGGTCACATTAACCTGATATATCAATGTGGAGTAATGGTTGTTGTGGAGTGGTGGTGGTGTTGTAGTTCTGGTAGAGTTGTAGTGGTTGAGTATGACGTCATTGGCAACATATGACGTCATTAGGCTAGGTTGACCACGCGTGTAATGACGTCATCTCTAAAAATCTATTACGTCATGGGGTGTTTGTGTGTGTGTGTGTTTTAATGGGGGTATTTTGTTGAAGCATCAGAGCATGTGTGTAGACGTGTGACAGATGTGTATACACATGCATGCACTCACTTGTATATCTAAGAACCTCCTTCCCTCATACACACAGCACTAACCCACTACCTACTGCCTCACTCTACCACTATTTCCCCTTTCCTACTTCCCCCTTAACCCCCCTCTCTCCCCCACCCACCTGTGCCCTCCCCCACCCACTCTACTAGCCACTTACGCCGCCAACTTCCCTACCACCACCACCACCACCAGCAACGTCAACCACCCACCTACCCAACTCCCCCCACCAATTCTCCTTACCCAACCTCCCTCCACCTGCCACCTACAGCACCTTCGCCCCCAAGCCACAAAGCCCACCTGCTGAACTAACGTGCCCCCTGCCCCCCAGCTGCCCGGAGAGACGCTACTGCCCATCGACACCGCCTATTCCCAGGCTCGACAGAAACTCGACCGAGCAGCAATGGTAAGTGAGCTGTGTATTTACTGAGATACAGGAGGAGGAGGAGGATGAGAAGGAGACAGAAAGATAATGAGGAGGAAGAGAGGCAGGAGGACAATGAGGAGAGGGAACAAGAAAGACAGAAAAGATACAGTAGAATGCGGAGAAGAGAGAGAGAGACAGACAGATATATGAATATAAGAACAATTTTAACTCCAGAGGGCCTATTGGCCCATACGAAGGCGCTCATATTTACATCTACTCAAACATTTATATATATCTAACCTCCAGTCAGTCAGTCAGTCAGTCAGTCAGTCAGAGAACAAGAAATTATTTTCCTGAACCGAATTCGTGTAGATGCTTCTACAGGGATGACTTAGGAGGCATTAAATATTAATTATATCAATCAGCAGTAACCAGTTTCGTGATGAGTCTCGCAATCACTGCAGTTGGTCACAGTAGGTGTGGCACTATTACCTTGAGAGGCACAGTAAGTGTGGCACTATTACCTTGAGGGGCACTGTAAACTTTATTTTAAATATTTGTTTAGAATTGGTTAGGTTAGGTTAGGTTAGGTTAGGTTTGGATTGGTTAGGTTTGGTTATGATACGTTAATAAGATTACATAATATATATTACAGTTATCAAGGGTTTCCCCTACACCTGCTAAAGAAATCCAGATTCACGGAAGCACTTACGCAAGCACTTACGAACGTGTACATCTTTCCTGAATCTTTCACGACTTTGGCTATATTTATTAAACAGTTTACAAGCATGAAAACTTCCCATTCAACTGTTGTTATTGTTATAAACAGTCTCCTGGTGCTTCGGAACTCATTAACTGTTTATTAATTGGAAACAAAGCCGACAAAGATTGAGAAAAGATGTACAGGTTCGTAAGTGCTTGCGTAAGTGCTTTCGTGAATCTGGCTCATGATTGTTATTATCTACATGATACTTCAGTGAATGAAGTATTTGATGCTGCCAAGACCAGATTGTTAAAGCATAATCAACATCTTCCGAGTCCTCCATTATCATCCTTGATACGTGACCTCAAATGACCTGAAGTTACCCTTGACTTGCTCTAAACTGACCTCCGCATCCGAACCCTGACCTCAGCTGACCTACGTTTATCTTATGGTTATTCTACACTACATTCTAATTACTCAAAAGTGCTATAAATGGGCCTTTGAACTTCTTTTCGCTTCCTCATTGGGGAAGAAGTTGGTGCTACGACCAGCTGAAGAGGAGTTGTGCATGTGGCTTGTGAAGCCCCGCTTCTGGCACATGAAAAGGATAGAGGACAGACTAAGTGTTTCATTCAATGGTAAAATCTAGCCGAGTTCTGTAAACCGAACCCAAAGGTTGGCTAAATATCATTTTTATACAACCTTGTTGTAATAGCGCCAGAAAATGTAATGGTCAATCAATCAATCGATCAATCAATCTATTAATGAATCAGTGTAATTCCTACATAATAAAATAGTACTATTCCCCAGCGATCTGCTCATACAGGTCCCAAAATATTGACTACCTGCCCCGTCTCTCTCTCTCTCTCTCTCTCCAACGTCAGGACCAGAGGTCAAGTATTCTAAACTTGTTCAAAACTACTCTCCCGCCAACGACCTCAACTGAGATGACCTGAAACTGTCCAAAAGTTATTATAAAGTGCTTCCACTCCGGCGAGCTGGGCCCTCATGGTACAAACTCCGTCCCTGTGTTATTCTTGTGAGCTCTATCTCTCCCACAGAGTTCCATCTCTCTCTCACAGAGCTTCATCTCTTATACAGAGCATTATCTGCCCCACAGAGGTCCATCACTTTCACAGAGCTCCATCTCTCACAGCTCCATATCACTCACAGAGCTCCATCTCTCACAGCTCCATATCACTCACAGAGCTCCATCTCTCACAGGGCTCCATCTCACAGAGCTTCATCTCTTACACAGAACTTCATCTCTTGAATAGAGCTACTCTAACGAACTTTACCTCCCACATAATGAGCTCCTCTCCTCCACAGAGCTCCTTGTCCCCCACAGAGCTCCTTGTCCCCCACAGAGCGCCATGTCCCCTACAGAGCTCTATGTCCCCCACAGAGCTCCATGTCCCCCATACAGCTATTATAATTATATCCAACGAGCTTCATATCCCCCACAGAGCTACTCTAACGACCTCCATCTTCCCACATAGAGCTTCAATCTACCCCACAGAGCTACTCTAACGACCTCCATCTTCCCACATAGAGCTTCAATCTACCCTACAGAGCTACTCTAACCAGCTCTGTCTCCTCCACAGAGCATACGAGAGCTGCAGAACTCTGTGCGTGACGGCGTCATTCTCTTCAAGGCGTTGCTTGACGAACTCCGCAAGAACATGGAAACCGAGAAGCATAATATCAACACCCTGACGGAAAGCCTTCAGGAGACCGTCAGGAGAACTCAGGACAACCTTCTTCGGGAGGTGGATGGGTGAGTCTGAGAGGGGAGAGAGGGAGGGGGGGGGTTGTTGGTAGTAGTGGTGGTGGTGGTGGTGGTAGTGTTGAGGCTGTTGGTACTGGTAACGGTGGTGGTGGTGGTGGTGGTCATGGCTGTGGTAGTAGGATTGTTGAGGTTAATGGCTGACATACTCATCGTCAGCACACTCATCACACGCACACAAACACGCATCACTCACCTCACAGACAGACTAATCCCACACCGCCTCATATTCACCACCCACTATCACATACCCATTCCACACCTCATTCCCATACACCAGCACATTCACTACACTCACTCAAATCCTGAATACATTTTCCACCACAACAACCAACTATCACACTGTTAAATGTAAATTTGATTGAATTTAGTATAATCCAAAACATATCATAGCTTTATGTAATATTGAAATATAAAAGCAAAAACATATTAGTCATCATTCATCATTTAAAAGTATACACACACACACTCAAGTTCTTTCTCAATCTCTTAAGTGTCTTTCTTGTCACTTTTGACTTGAACTGACTTTGTCTTGTGGTAAAGTATACCTTCTATCAGTATACCTGAACGCCTTCGTGAGTTGCCGTATACCATTCTTATTAACCATGAATAAGCAATGAATATAATAGTCAATGGTGAAGAAGTGATCCGGATGGCATCGCCTGACCTTTCCCAATTTTTGGGGCTATTTATGTCCCATTTTCTCTCTTTATACCTTTGGTTCAGGGGCCATACACGTCCTATTTCTTGTTATCAAGCCCCTGGTCCTGTGGAAAAGTACGCCCCATTTGTCGTTATCAAGCCCCTGGTCCTGTGGAAAAGCACGTCCCATTTGTTGTTATCCAGCCCCTGGTCCTGTGGAAAAGCACGTCCCATTTGTTGTTATTAAGCCCCTGGTCCTGTGGAAAAGTACGCCCCATTTGTTATCCAGCCCCTGGTCCTGTGGAAAAGCACGTCTCATTTGTTGTTATCCAGCCCCTGGTCCTGTGGAAAAGCACGTCCCATTTGTTGTTATCCAGCCCCTGGTCCTGTGGAAAAGCACGTCCCATTTGTTGTTATTAAGCCCCTGGTCCTGTGGAAAAGCACGTCCCATTTGTTGTTATCCAGCCCCTGGTCCTGTGGAAAAGTACGCCCCATTTGTTGTTATCCAGCCCCTGGTCCTGTGGAAAAGTACGCCCCATTTGTTGTTATCCAGCCCCTGGTCCTGTGGAAAAGCACGTCCCATTTGTTGTTATCCAGCCCCTGGTCCTGTGGAAAAGTACGCCCCATTTGTTGTTATCCAGCCCCTGGTCCTGTGGAAAAGTACGCCCCATTTGTTGTTATCCAGCCCCTGGTCCTGTGGAAAAACACGTCCCATTTGTTGTTATTAAGCCCCTGGTTCTGTGAACATACACGCCCCATTTCCTGGCATCACACCCTTCGTTACAATTCTTGACTAACAGCGTCCGTCTCCTGCTCCTCCTACAGGCAGTACGACGCTAAAGACAAGCTCTTCAGGAGCCAACTGTCATCCCTGGGAGCGCTCCTGCCCATCATCCAGGTGCACCTCCTCATGTGCACCACCTTCTCCTCCTCGGCCTCCAAGTACGAGTTCCTCGACCTGGTGTTCCAGCTGATGGAGCGACTGGCAGCCATCGCTCACCTCTCACACCCGCTCAGGTGAGGAGGGTGTGTGTGACTGAGGGTGGGAGGGAGGGAGGGTGTGTGTGGCTGACTGGAGGGAGTGAAGTCATGGCTGAAGTCTAGTTGACTGGAGGGAGGTCATGTCTAGCTGGCTGGAAGGAGGTCATGTCTAACTGGCTAGGGAGAAGCAAGGAGGGTACGTATGGCTAGCTGATTTCACATGGGGCTGACTGGCTTGGTTAACTGGGTGACTGGCTGGCTGGCTGGCTGGCTGGCTGGCTTTTTCGCTGGCTGACTGACTGGCTGGCTTGTTCGCTGACTGGCTGGCTGGCTCGTTCGCTGACTGGCTGGCTCGTTCGCTGACTGGCTGGCTGGTTCGCTGGCTTGTTCACTGACTGGCTGGCTGGTTCGCTGGCTGGCTGGCTAGTTCGCTCGCTGGTTCGCTGGCTGGCTGACTAACTGCATGACTGACTGACTGATTGGCTGGCTGGCTGGCTGGCTGGCTGGCTGGATGGATGGCTGACTGGCTGACTGGATGGCTGACTGACTGACTGACTGGCTGGCTGGTTCCCTGGCTGGCTGGCTGGCTGGTTCCCTGGCTGGCTGGCTGGCTGACTGGCTGGCTGACTGGCTGGCTGGTTCACTGGCTGGCTGGTTCACTGGCTGGCTGGCTGGCTGGCTGGCTGGCTGGCTGGCTGGCTGGCGTCTACCTGCCCATGTTAAAGGGCGATAGCTCGGTGTGGGCTTCCTAATGGTGGATTCTGTTGTTTGTGTCTGCCCCGAGGTGCTCGGGTGTGGCCCAGTTGTGTGTGCGGGTGTGTGTGGGTGTGGCCCAGTTGTGTGTGCGGGTGTGTGTGGGTGTGGCCCAGTTGTGTGTGCGGGTGTGTGTGGGTGTGGCCCAGTTGTGTGTGCGGGTGTGTGTGGGTGTGGCCCAGTTGTGTGTGCAGGTGTGTGCGGGTGTGGCCCAGTTGTGTGTGCGGGTGTGTGTGGGTGTGGCCCAGTTGTGTGTGCGGGTGTGTGTGGGTGTGGCCCAGTTGTGTGTGTGGGTGTGGCCCAGTTGTGTGTGCGGGTGTGTGTGGGTGTGGCCCAGTTGTGTGTGCGGGTATGTGTGGGTGTGGCCCAGTTGTGTGTGCGGGTGTGTGTGGGTGTGGCCCAGTTGTGTGTGCGGTGTGGCCCAGTTGTGTGTGCGGGTGTGTGTGGGTGTGGCCCAGTTGTGTGTGCGGGTGTGTGTGGGTGTGGGTTGTGTGTGTGCGGGTGTGTGGGTGTGGCCCAGTTGTGTGTGCGGGTGTGTGTGGGTGTGGCCCAGTTGTGTGTGCAGGTGTGTGCGGGTGTGGCCCAGTTGTGTGTGCGGGTGTGTGTGGGTGTGGCCCATGTGTGCGGGTGTGTGTGGGTGTGGCCCAGTTGTGTGTGTGGGTGTGGCCCAGTTGTGTGTGCGGGTGTGTGTGGTTGTGGCCCAGTTGTGTGTGCGGGTGTGTGTGGTTGTGGCCCAGTTGTGTGTGTGGGTGTGTGTGGGTGTGTGTGGGTGTGTGTGGGTGTGGCCCAGTTGTGTGTGTGGGTGTGGCCCAGTTGTGTGTGCGGGTGTGTTGGGTGTGGCCCAGTTGTGTGTGTGGGTGTGTGTGGGTGTGGCCCAGTTGTGTGTGCGGGTGTGTGTGGGTGTGGCCCAGTTGTGTGTGCGGGTGTGTGTGGGTGTTGCCCAGTTTTGTGTGCGGGTGTGTGTGGGTGTTGCCCAGTTGTGTGTGCGGGTGTGTGTGGGTTTGGCCCAGTTGTGTGTGCGGGTGTGTGTGGGTGTGGCCCAGTTGTGTGTGCGGGTATGTGTGGGTGTGGCCCAGTTGTGTAGTGCGGGTGTGTGTGGGTGTGGCCCAGTTGTGTGTGCGGGTTGTGTGGGTGTGGCCCAGTTGTGTGTGCGGGTATGTATGTAATTACATGTATATATATTATACATATATACATATATATATATATATATAGTGCGTTATATATATATATATACATATATATATATAATATAAAAGGTATGCATGGATCTGGTGTGAGTGAGTGTTCCGTTGTGATATCTCAACTAGTCATAACTTATATATGTCATTAAGTGATAGCAACAGAGTCACTCAACTCAATCTTCACGTTAAAATACATTTAGTGTGACTCTTGTAACACAAAGCAATATAAGCAACAATTAATATGACTTACAAAATAAGTAAATTACAATTGTACCTCTGATTGGTACATATATAAGTACTACAATCAGTACTATAGTACAATCAGTACTATAAGTACTATAACGTGAACATTATACTCAGTACGACTCAAACAGCAACACACTTAGATTCACTAAATCAAGAAAATCATTATTTAAAATGTTTTATGTGTTTAATTATATAACTTACTGTTGCAATGGTTCCATACTTGTTGGGTATTCCTTTATATACTGGTCAGTAATTCCCTATAGTCTGATTTAGTAATCAACTATACAAGGTCAGTATTACCATATATTCTGGGTTAGTAATCCCTATATACTTGCCAGTAATCCTTCTATATACTTGCTATTAGTCCCAATCTAAACTAGTTAAGTTATTCCCTGAATGTTGGGTCAGTAATACCTATATACTAGTCAGCAATAGCTTATAACTGATCAATAATTCTCCAAATATTGGTTCAGTACTCCATATATATATATATATATATATATATATATATATATATATATATATATATATATATATATATATATATATATATATATATAATGGTTCATAAGGCTCCATGAATTCCGGCTCAATAATTCCTCTATATTGTATTAATAGAGGATTATTAAGCCATGTATTATGGCTTAATAATCCTCTATATATCCTCAATAATCATCTAAATTACTGGTTCGGTAATTCCTTATATAATGGTTCAGTAAACCCCTATTTGCCTGTTTAGTAACCTCCTGTATTCTGATTAAGTAACACTTTATTTACTGGTTCAATAATACCTTATATGCTAGTTCAGTAATACTTTACATACTAGTTCATTTATAACTTACATATTTTGAACATTCTATCCTTTTTTAAATCTATGATGTTTCCGTTGGTTCTCATCAATGTGTAAGCGGACAATTATATACTTGTGATGAATAAATGTATTGTTTACATGTATTAATAGCATATACCTCAGATGTATATGCATAGAACAGTGTAATTATCGACTAGTTTCAAGGGGAGAAAATATATATGAAATATTGAAACTAGTCGATAATTACTTGAAACTCCCCCTTGAAACTAGTCGATAATTACACTGTTCTGCGTAATAATTACAACATTTCTACCGTATATATTTTGAGTGAATATATATATTAATGCATTAAAAATTTCTAACGTTAATTAAGTTTAAACAATTTCGGATTATATGAATATCTTAATGCTTACATATATAAACACGCACACGCACGCACGCATACACGCACAGGAATTGATAGGATAGATAAAGACAGGCTCCTTAACACAAGGGGCACACGCACTAGGGGACACAGGTGGAAATTGAGTGCCCAAATGAGCCACAGAGATATTAGAAAGAACTTTTTTAGTGTCAGAGTGGTTGACAAATGGAATGCATTAGGAAGTGATGTGGTGGAGGCTGACTCCATACGCAGTTTCAAGTGTAGATATGATAGAGCCCAATAGGCTCAGGAACCTGTACACCAGTTGATTGACAGTTGAGAGGCGGGACCAAAGAGTCAGAGCTCAACCCCCGCAAGCACAAATAGGTGAGTACACACACACACACACACACACACACACACACACACACACACACACACACACACACACACACACACACACACACGCACACACACACACACACACACAACAGGCCCAGGAAGTTGAACAACAGTTGATTGGAAGATGAAATGTAGTCCCACAGAGCGGGAACGTCGACCCCCACAAAAAAAATATATTTATAAAAAATAAAACATTTCTCAAAGCGTTACAAGACAAAGAGTACTTGGAAGACGGGACACCACGAACGTAGCTCCTTAATTACACTTAGGTAATTACACACGCCCTTTCCCCAGCACCCCCTTCACTCCTACCAATTCCCTTCCCTTAGCTGCCCTACCGAGGACTGCTGCCCACTCAGCAACAGCTGCAGCCGGCCCGCACACATATATATACATTCCTTTCCTGCCACTAAGTAATGTATCTTTTCACCCCAAGCTCTTTCCCCAGGCCCGGTCAGAGCAGTCAAGTCCGGAGCAGCTTCAAGAGTGAGTTCTCCAGGAGTCTTGAGCCCCTACTCTCCAGCGTCGGCAAGGGAAGGGCAGGGGAGCCCCTCACCATGCCCTCAGGTACGTGTATGAAGAGGGGAGCCCGTCACATTGCCCTCAGGTACGTGTGTGAAGAGGGGAGCCCCCTCACCATGCCCTCAGGTACGTGTGTGAAGAGGGCAGCCCATCACATTGCCCTCAGGTACGTGTATGAAGAGGGCAGCCCATCACATTGCCCTCAGGTACGTGTGTGAAGAGGGGAGCCCCTCACATTGCCCTCAGGTACGTGTATGAAGAGGGGAGCCCGTCACATTGCCCTCAGGTACGTGTATGAAGAGGGCAGCCCCCTCACATTGCCCTCAGGTACGTGTATGAAGAGGGGAGCTATCATACCCTCAGGTTCGTGAGTGAAAGTCGCTTACTATGCCCACGGGTACGAGTGAGGGGTATAGGGAGTCCCTTCCCCATACCCTCAGACACGTATGAGAGGGAGGGTGTTCCTCGCCATGCCCTCAGGCACGTGTAAGGGAAGGGGAAGTCCTTGATTATGCCCTCAGATAAACGTGAGAGAAAGGTGAGTCAATGATCTTGGTCTTAAGGCACGTCTGAGGGGAGGAGAGGGGAAAGGTCTGTTGTAAGACAGGGTTTAGAAATTATAGTAACATACGCGTTAATTTATAATGCTCAGCCATGTGTGCGTCCGTGGGCTTATGTATATATGAGATTAATACATACATAGCCCCTAAGGGTTTGTGCCACAGCAGATAACCCTAAGATTCTGTGGCACCTCAGATAATCCTAAGGATCTGTGACGCAACAGATATTTCCTAAAGATATGGATGACACAGCAGACAGCCATGAGACTCTGTGGCTCAGCAGATGGCCCCCTAAAGATCTGTGGCACATCAGATAGCCCTTATGAACCTGTGGGATAGCGTAGATATAACTAAAATTATATAAAGGTGTGAACGTTCAACCAGGCTACTGCTCAATAACTTTATCCAAAGTTTATGCTCAGTTTTACATCATCACAATGTTGTGTTGTATTATGTTTGTTTAAAGTATTTTTATTAGTTACAGGTATTGTATTATCTTAATGTATTATATATAACTATTTAGAGATCGTTGCTATAGTTAGGATACAGCTATTGTTACTACGTTATTTCATTTATTTGCTACGTATTCGAGTTCATGTTTATTTGACAGAGGCAGGAATTCTTGCGTGAACTTTAGATTATAGCTGGGTACCTCTTTGTGTTCTTCATGTACTGTCACCTTGTTCTTCGTGTATTGTCACCTTGTTCTTCGTGTATTGTCACCTTGTTCTTCGTGTATTGTCACCTTGTTCTTCGTGTATTGTCACCTTGTTCTCCGTGTATTGTCACCTGTTCTCCATTTGTTTGCCTTTATTCTTTATTATATCCGTCAAAGAATTTCACTTTCATATTCACTCATGTCAAAACTCGTCTCATGAGCGGGGAACTTTAGCTGGCGGGGAAGGTGACTCTAGGTGACTTTTAGGTGACTTTAGGTGACTTTAGGTAACTCCTCTTACCTAGCGCGACGTTGTCCCCATAGCGAGAGACTGTCCTCGTAGCCAGTCTCTTCCCCCCCCCCCCCATAGCGAGTCTTTACCACCTAGCGAGAACTTGTCCCCCATAGCGAGAACTGTCCCCCATAGCGAGACGTCTCGAGACCTTCTCTCTCCCTCTGCCTCTCTTCCCCCAGGGTCGTCTGGCTGTAGCGAAAAGCAGTCTTCTGAGGGAGGGTGCGCGTCTCGCCCTCCTTCGGCAGCCTCGGTGATGGGTCCCGCCTCCTTCGGGATGCCGGGGTCCAGACGCTCACTCTCCGCCGCCAAGCTCAAGATCCTGGAGAGTGGCGGACCCTTCGCTGAACACTGCAAGACGCACGATAATAAATTTAGGGTAAGCTTATTAAAATTTATGCAACATTGGAACTCCTGTCGTAAACAGACGGCTTTGCACGTCATGTGCATCTTATATTTTACAATGGCGATATATATATGTTTCAAATAGAACTCGAATTTCAATGTCTGCAAAGTATTTCCGCCGGAATCTGTCAACGAGTCACAGAGACTGAAGGGTGATCAATTCACCGTCATTTCCTCTTGCCCACCAACAGCAGGAATTGACAGGCAAGTTCACTAGGCTAAAAGAAGAGGCCCAGGAGCTCCACCGAGACGTGACGCTGAGAAGGTGCTTGACGAGACGGGGCCGCGTGGAGGAGATCGTGAGGGAGTGTGCGGCCCTCGAGGACGAGTTCCACGCTTACACCGACGAGATGGAGGAGCTGAGGGCCGTCTTTGACGCCGCTTGGGACGAGCAGATACAGAGGGTCTATGCTGAGCAGGAGGTCTTCCAGTCTCAGGTGAGCCCGCTGGCCACGGCTGGAGGTCGGGTTGACTCCTAAATACCTGCATGGGGAGCTTTGGGCTCAGTCGAGCCCAAAGCTCAGCTCAGTCGTAATGGCTTTGAGCTCACTCGAGCTCAGTCGTGATGGCTTTGAGCTCAGTGTTGTGTAAGGTTACTGCGAAGGAAGTATTGTTCAGGGTGTTGTGTAGAGAGTATTGTTCAGGGTGTTGCGTAGAGAGTATTGTTCAGGGTGTTGTGTAGAGAGTATTGTTCAGGGTGTTGCGTAGAGAGTATTGTTCAGGGTGTTGTGTAGAGAGTATTGTTCAGGGTGTTGTGTAGAGAGTATTGTTCAGGGTGTTGTGTAGAGAGTATTGTTCAGGGTGTTGTGTAGAGAGTATTGTTCAGGGTGTTGTGTAGAGAGTATTGTTCAGGGTGTTGTGTAGAGAGTATTGTTCAGGGTGTTGTGTAGAGAGTATTGTTCAGGGTGTTGTGTAGAGAGTATTGTTCAGGGTGTTGTGTAGAGAGTATTGTTCAGGGTGTTGTGTAGAGAGTATTGTTCAGGGTGTTGCGTAGAGAGTATTGTTCAGGGTGTTGCGTAGAGAGTATTGTTCAGGGTGCTGTGTAGAGAGTATTGTTCAGGGTGTTGCGTAGAGAGTATTGTTCAGGGTGTTGTGTAGAGAGTATTGTTCAGGGTGTTGCGTAGAGAGTATTGTTCAGGGTGTTGTGTAGAGAGTATTGTTCAGGGTGTTGCGTAGAGAGTATTGTTCAGGGTGTTGTGTAGAGAGTATTGTTCAGGGTGTTGTGTAGAGAGTATTGTTCAGGGTGTTGTGTAGAGAGTATTGTTCAGGGTGTTGTGTAGAGAGTATTGTTCAGGGTGTTGTGTAGAGAGTATTGTTCAGGGTGTTGTGTAGAGAGTATTGTATAGGGTGTTGTGTAGAGAGTATTGTTCAGGGTGTTGTGTAGAGGGTATTGTTCAGGGTGTTGTGTAGAGAGTATTGTTCAGGGTGTTGTGTAGAGAGTATTGTTCAGGGTGTTGTGTAGAGAGTATTGTTCAGGGTGTTGTGTAGAGAGTATTGTTCAGGGTGTTGTGTAGAGAGTATTGTTCAGGGTGTTGTGTAGAGAGTATTGTTCAGGGTGTTGCGTAGAGAGTATTGTTCAGGGTGTTGCGTAGAGAGTATTGTTCAGGGTGTTGTGTAGAGAGTATTGTTCAGGGTGTTGCGTAGAGAGTATTGTTCAGGGTGTTGCGTAGAGAGTATTGTTCAGGGTGTTGTGTAGAGAGTATTGTTCAGGGTGTTGCGTAGAGAGTATTGTTCAGGGTGTTGTGTAGAGAGTATTGTTCAGGGTGTTGCGTAGAGAGTATTGTTCAGGGTGTTGTGTAGAGAGTATTGTTCAGGGTGTTGTGTAGAGAGTATTGTTCAGGGTGTTGTGTAGAGAGTATTGTTCAGGGTGTTGTGTAGAGAGTATTGTTCAGGGTGTTGTGTAGAGAGTATTGTATAGGGTGTTGTGTAGAGAGTATTGTTCAGGGTGTTGTGTAGAGGGTATTGTTCAGGGTGTTGTGTAGAGAGTATTGTTCAGGGTGTTGTGTAGAGAGTATTGTTCAGGGTGTTGTGTAGAGAGTATTGTTCAGGGTGTTGTGTAGAGAGTATTGTTCAGGGTGTTGTGTAGAGAGTATTGTTCAGGGTGTTGTGTAGAGAGTATTGTTCAGGGTGTTGTGTAGAGAGTATTGTTCAGGGTGTTGTGTAGAGAGTATTGTGATGGGTGTTGTGTAGAGAGTATTGTTCAGGGTGTTGCGTAGAGAGTATTGTTCAGGGTGTTGCGTAGAGAGTATTGTTCAGGGTGTTGTGTAGAGAGTATTGTTCAGGGTGTTGTGTAGAGAGTATTGTTCAGGGTGTTGTGTAGAGAGTATTGTTCAGGGTGTTGTGTAGAGAGTATTGTTCAGGGTGTTGTGTAGAGAGTATTGTTCAGGGTGTTGTGTAGAGAGTATTGTTCAGGGTGTTGTGTAGAGAGTATTGTTCAGGGTGTTGTGTAGAGAGTATTGTTCAGGGTGTTGTGTAGAGAGTATTGTTCAGGGTGTTGTGTAGAGAGTATTGTTCAGGGTGTTGTGTAGAGAGTATTGTTCAGGGTGTTGTGTAGAGAGTATTGTTCAGGGTGTTGCGTAGAGAGTATTGTTCAGGGTGTTGCGTAGAGAGTATTGTTCAGGGTGTTGCGTAGAGAGTATTGTTCAGGGTGTTGTGTAGAGAGTATTGTTCAGGGTGTTGCGTAGAGAGTATTGTTCAGGGTGTTGTGTAGAGAGTATTGTTCAGGGTGTTGTGTAGAGAGTATTGTTCAGGGTGTTGTGTAGAGAGTATTGTTCAGGGTGTTGTGTAGAGAGTATTGTTCAGGGTGTTGTGTAGAGAGTATTGTTCAGGGTGTTGTGTAGAGAGTATTGTTCAGGGTGTTGTGTAGAGAGTATTGTTCAGGGTGTTGTGTAGAGAGTATTGTATAGGGTGTTGTGTAGAGAGTATTGTTCAGGGTGTTGGGTAGAGGGTATTGTTCAGGGTGTTGTGTAGAGAGTATTGTTCAGGGTGTTGTGTAGAGAGTATTGTTCTGGGTGTTGTGTAGAGAGTATTGTTCAGGGTGTTGTGTAGAGAGTATTGTTCAGGGTGTTGTGTAGAGAGTATTGTTCAGGGTGTTGCGTAGAGAGTATTGTTCAGGGTGTTGCGTAGAGAGTATTGTTCAGGGTGTTGTGTAGAGAGTATTGTTCAGGGTGTTGTGTAGAGAGTATTGTTCAGGGTGTTGCGTAGAGAGTATTGTTCAGGGTGTTGTGTAGAGAGTATTGTTCAGGGTGTTGCGTAGAGAGTATTGTGATGGGTGTTGTGTAGAGAGTATTGTTCAGGGTGTTGCGTAGAGAGTATTGTTCAGGGTGTTGTGTAGAGAGTATTGTTCAGGGTGTTGTGTAGAGAGTATTGTTCAGGGTGTTGTGTAGAGAGTATTGTTCAGGGTGTTGTGTAGAGAGTATTGTTCAGGGTGTTGTGTAGAGAGTATTGTTCAGGGTGTTGTGTAGAGAGTATTGTTCAGGGTGTTGTGTAGAGAGTATTGTTCAGAGTATTGTTCAGGGTGTTGTGTAGAGAGTATTGTTCAGGGTGTTGTGTAGAGAGTATTGTTCAGGGTGTTGTGTAGAGAGTATTGTTCAGGGTGTTGTGTAGAGAGTATTGTTCAGGGTGTTGTGTAGAGAGTATTGTTCAGGGTGTTGTGTAGAGAGTATTGTGATGGGTGTTGTGTAGAGAGTATTGTTCAGGGTGTTGCGTAGAGAGTATTGTTCAGGGTGTTGCGTAGAGAGTATTGTATAGGGTGTTGTGTAGAGAGTATTGTTCAGGGTGTTGTGTAGAGAGTATTGTTCAGGGTGTTGTGTAGAGAGTATTGTTCAGGGTGTTGTGTAGAGAGTATTGTTCAGGGTGTTGTGTAGAGAGTATTCTCTACACAACACTAAATCTTCTGCTCAACAATGTTGTGAAGAAGATTTTGAGATAAAACTAGTAGAACATCTGAGGAGAAAGTACTTTGTAACATATCACCAGCATGATTTCAGGGTTGGCAAATCTTGCCTCACAGGATTAATAGAGTTCTATTTATCACAATTCCCCCACAATTCCCCAGTCCCTAAGTTAGAGGTGCAGGCAGAAATAAAAGGGAAGGTACTGCAGCAGATAAGGGAGTACCTAAGCAACAGAAGACAGCGACTAGTTCCAGAACTAAGAGGGATGAGTTATGAGGAAAGGCTGTGTGAACTGCACCTCACGTCGCTGGAAGATAGAAGAGTTAGAGGAGACATGATTACCACACACAAAATTCTCGGCCGAATAGACAGGGGTAGATAAAGACAGATTATTTAGCAGAGGTGGTACTCGCATAATGGGGACACACATGGAAACTGAGTACCCAAATGAGCCACAGAGACATTAGATATAACTTTCTTAGTGTCAGAGTAGTTAACAAATGGAATATATTAGGCAGTGATGAGGTGGAGGCTGACTCCATACACAGTTTCAAATGTTGATATGATAAGAGCATAAAAGGCTCAGGAATCTGTAATCCAGTGGATTAACAGTTGAGGGGCGGGACCAGAGAATCAAAGCTCAATTAGGTGAGTACACACACACACACCCACACACACACACACACACACACACACACACACACACACACACACACACACACACACACACACACACACACACACACACACACACACACACACACACACACACACACACACACACACACACACACACACACACACACATTAAGCGAGCAGATTCAACAAAATGTCTCGTTGGGAAGCGCTTAAAACTATCTCTTTTGTTTCTACAACTTTTTTAGTTAACATTAAACTCATTAAAATCATTTTTTACTATGTCATTTTTTATTAATTAAGAGATAAAAAAACACATCTTTTATTGATTACATAATGAATTATACACCACTGATAGCCCACGATAAAACGCTACGTGTCACTAACAAATGCTCCGTGTCCATCACTAACAAATGCTCTGTGTCCATCACTAACAAATGCTCTGTGTCCATCACTAACAAATGCTCTGTGTCCATCACTAACAAATGCTCTGTGTCCATCACTAACAAATGCTCTGTGTCCATCACTAACAAATGCTCTGTGTCCATCACTAACAAATGCTCTGTGTCCATCACTAACAAATGCTCCGTGTCCATCACTAACAAATGCTCTGTGTCCATCACTAACAAATGCTCTGTGTCCATCACTAACAAATGCTCTGTGTCCATCACTAACAAATGCTCTGTGTCCATCACTAACAAATGCTCCGTGTCCATCACTAACAAATGCTCTGTGTCCATCACTAACAAATGCTCCGTGTCCATCACTAACAAATGCTCCGTGTCCATCACTAACAAATGCTCTGTGTCCATCACTAACAAATGCTCTGTGTCCATCACTAACAAATGCTCTGTGTCCATCACTAACAAATGCTCCGTGTCCATCACTAACAAATGCTCTGTGTCCATCACTAACAAATGCTCTGTGTCCATCACTAACAAATGCTCCGTGTCCATCACTAACAAATGCTCTGTGTCCATCACTAAGAAATGATCCGTGTACCGTGTATTGTTATTTTCTCCTTGCAAGGTTGTCTTGCAATATGGTGATAGCACCTTACGGTATTGACTTGAGACGCCCTACACTTATAACTCATAACACTATCTGTTGCAGGCGATGAATCACAATAACGTGGCTAAATTATGTTGACCAGACCACACACTAGAAAGTGAAGGGGACGACGACGTTTCGGTCCGTCCTTTGGACCATTCTCAAGTCGATTGAGATGGTCCAACACGGACCAAAACGTCGTCGTCCCTTCACCTTCTAGTGTGTGGTCTGGTCATCACACTATCTTTTGTTTTAAATTGGTTAACTCAGCCACGACAGTATATTGCTAGGTCTATATCAAATCTCTAGAATGACTATTCGTGTTAGTATATAACTTGAAAGTTAACAAGTTTATATATGATTAACAAAATTATTGAGTTTAGTTTTGAAATCGGGCATTGTAGCCTCAGTGCTGAATCTCTAATGCCAAATAAAATATATAATATCGGCACAATCATCAGTAATTTATATAATAATATAAGACAATGATCTCAGCCATTCTTATGTTTCATGTTGTTTCTATTCCTGACACATCTACCGTTAGCATGAAAGATTTAACGGCTATTTTCAGTATGTTCTATTGTTCAAGTACGTTTATCGAGACAATAATATACATCTCCAAAGGATAGAGTAGCTTAGGCTATTTCTACCCCCCCCCCTGTTCTATTGTTATCTGTATATTAACCTTGGTCATCTTGACCAAGGTTAATGATTCCCTTGGTCATCTTAATGACCTAATGTGACCTTACTTCTTGACCATATCTTCTCATGACTTAAGGTAACAGTCAGACCCTGTGTGTGTTTGATCCCAATGTTTACCTCCAATACACCCTACCTGTGCCTTTTGATGACCTGACCTCACCAGTACCTCTCAATGACTTGACCTTACTTGTCACTCTTAACGCCTTGACCCCTACCTGTGCGTCTCCGTGACCCCTACCTGTGCGTCTCCGTGACCCCTACCTGTGCGTCTCCGTGACCCCTACCTGTGCGTCTCTGTGACCTGGCCCTACCTGTGCGTCTCCGTGACCCCTACCTGTGCGTCTCTGTGATCTGGCCCTACCTGTGCCCGCTAGCGACTGGCATTGACCTGAGCCTCCCTCCCATTCATTACCAGGTGAATGACGTGGCCAGCCTTCGGGACGAAAACAAGAGACTGATGATCATTGCTCAGCAACTGGAACCTTACATCCGCTCCATCACCGCCCTCATGGAGAGAATATCTCCTAAGCTTCAGGTGAGACTTTGTAGCTGCTGGTCAGACTTTCCTCCTCCAAGTGAGACTTTCCTCCTCCAAGTGAGACTTTCCTCCTCCAAGTGAGACTTTCCTCCTCCAGGTGAGGTTTTCTTTCCATGGTTGAGAATTTATGTCTCCAGATTCACATGTCTAAGAGGCAATTCCCATCTCTGAATGAGAATTCTCATTATCACACGGTGAAAATTACCATATCCAGGTGAGAATTGTCATATCCAGGTGAGAATTGTCATATCCAGGTAAGAATTGTCATATCCAGGTGAGAATTGTCATATCCAGGTAAGAATTGTCATATCCAGGTGAGAATTGTCATATCCAGGTAAGAATTGTCATATCCAGGTGAGAATTATTATATCTAAGTGTGAATTGCCATATCCAGATGAGAATTGCCATAGCCAGGTGAGAATTGCCATATCCAGGTAAGAATTTAAATATCCAGATGAGAATTTCTATACCCAGGCAAAAATTTATATTGACAGGTGAGAAATCCCACCAGACCTCCGGGTGATGGGAACATGTGACTCTTGGTAGAAATTATTGTCTTCAAATGGTAATGTGTTTCTCCCAGCGATAACATTTACCAAATTCCAAGTAAAGTAATATTATTATTGAAGCTGTTGTTGTTACTTGGATTAAGTGATATTTGCCAATACGCTGAGATAGTTTTGAGACAATGCGTTGCCTCCCCCATCTAGTCACTACTGTGCTCCTAACTTGCTACTAGCTCTCTCACTTTGATACTGTCTCTCCTACTTTGTCACTAGCATGTTCATTCTGTTACTAGCACGACCGCTAGTGGCTAAGTGGGAGTATTGTCCGTTAACACTTCAATGTAGCTGCTGATAACCCGCCTTATCGTCCCTGAGCCTTCCGTACCCAAACACACCCCCATTACTACCCCCTTTAAACACCTCTATCCACCCACACCCCCCTATCCTTACAACACCCACCACAGTCCGCTTGCACAACATCACGTACCAGAGTCCCCTCACACTCACACACACCCTCACGCACCAGAGTCACTTCACACTCACACACCCCTCGCAACGTCACGCACCAGAGTCCCCACACACTCACACACCCTCACGCCCCTCTTCCCCCTCTTCACCCCACCAGTGGCCTGACAATGTGTGTGTGTTCGACAGGTGCCCCAGAGTCAAGCCGCGTCGACGGCGTCTGTGGTGGACTCCAGCGAGAACATAATGCAACAGATCCTGGACCAGATCAGCGCCTGCAAGCCTGAGCAGCAGCAGAGGTGAACCTTCTCTCTAACCTTCACTGTTTGTTTGCATTGGGAGGCAATTCTTTCTTCCCCCTGGCTTTGGGGACAGTTTATTAGCTATAGGGAAGTTTTTGATGGCGAATGTTCGAGGGGGTTTGTTTCTCCCTTTTTGTCTCTGTCACCTTTCTTCTCTCTGTTCTATCTTATCTTTCTATCCCTCTTCCTTGCTATCGTCCTTTTTTCGTCCTAGGATTTTTTTCGCCCGTCCATAGGATTTCGTCCTATCCCTCTTTCTTGCTTACAACATATGTTCGGTAACTTTATTTTCTAGGGAGGATAATTTGGTTGGCTGAACTATTAGTAAACAGCAATTTTCTTGTTTCTGTATACCCTATTTAAGGGTATTTTTATTTATTTTTATCAAAGCCTGTTTTATCAGGGAGGGAAATCATTATGTTCACTACTACTTTACAGACACCTGTTACTAAACATTTGTACATCAAGAAACAGTTGTCTAGGAATTATGCTTGAGGGGGGGGGGGGAACAGCTTGCCACGATTGGCTGCTTGGAAACATTTTCTATATTTGTTTTGAAAAAGATCTGAAGAGGAGAACTATATTTTTAAGAACACCTGAACCTTTAAGGAGATCTGTACTCTTGAAAACACTCACAGGAATCTTCTGTACTCCAGAGAACATGTTCAGAAAGAACTCCACTCACGATAACATCTCACAGAAATAGCTGTTCCCTTGAGACTACTTGTCATAACTTCTCTTAGAAACAAGCGGGGAGGTTTATACTCTTACTTAAAATATAGACCCATATACCCATGCTAGATAACATTGACGCTATCAAAACATCTTTACAAGAAGTATCCTTTAATAAAAACATCTGTTCAGGAAGAAACAAATCTATGATCCCTTAACACAATCTCTAGAGCAGGATGGTGGCGGATTTGATTTGATTGTTCGGTGGCTAGTTTATTGTGCACCCCATACCCATCCTGTGAGCGGTAGCGCAAAAAGCATTATAGAGGGCACAAAAGGTCTTTATCAGACCTCATCTTAGGCGAGGGATCGAATCAGCGTCTTGAAGTCACCCCCGACGCACGCCTTAACCCATAGACAACGATGTGCTAAAAGTTACACAACCTCTAGTCTGCATGACTCAATATATCACGTAATTGTGATCTCATTGTGTAGATAATCTCTTACCACTCATAGGGAGAATATACTCTTGATAGGGCACCGTATACACCCCTAGGAAACACCTTTTTTTTGGAGGGGAGGTAAATAGGTTTTTACAAAGGTAACCTATCCCTAAATGTTAGTAAGTAACCTGTTCAGTGTGAATATCTATTGCGTCTTTAACAAGAATCAAGATCAATGTGCTTTCGTCACCAGCGCTATATTAAGAATGTAACACTTGGTTCATCATTTATAATGTTAGAAGCTTTTGTATTGGGATCTCTTATGCCATTAGAAGCCCATGTATAGGTATCTGTTATCCCTTTACAAGCCTCGGTATAAGATCTCTTACACCACTAGAAATATATGTACTCGGATCTACTATACCTCTGGGAACGTTTTACGGGGGATCTCCTACACCTTTGGAAACCCCTGTATTGAGATCTCCTACACCTTTGGAAACCCCTGTATTGAGATCTCCTACACCCTTGGAAACCCTTGTATTGAGATCTCCTACACCCTTGGAAACCCCTGTATTGAGATCTCCTACACCCTTGGAAACCCACCACTTATCGTGAACAAAAGATGTGAGATGTGTACTGCCGCAGCCTCAGTGTACTGCCGCAGCCTCAGTGTACTGCCGCAGTCTCAGTGTACTGCCGCAGCCTCAGTGTACTGCCGCAGTCTCAGTGTACTGCCGCAGCCTCAGTGTACTGCCGCAGTCTCAGTGTACTGCCGCAGCCTCAGTGTACTGCCGCAGCCTCAGTGTACTGCCGCAGTCTCAGTGTACTGCCGCAGCCTCAGTGTACTGCCGCAGCCTCAGTGTACTGCCGCAGTCTCAGTGTACTGCCGCAGCCTCAGTGTACTGCCGCAGTCTCAGTGTACTGCCGCAGCCTCAGTGTACTGCCGCAGCCTCAGTGTACTGCCGCAGTCTCAGTGTACTGCCGCAGCCTCAGTGTACTGCCGCAGCCTCAGTGTACTGCCGCAGTCTCAGTGTACTGCCGCAGCCTCAGTGTACTGCCGCAGACTCAGTGTACTGCCGCAGCCTCAGTGTACTGCCGCAGCCTCAGTGTACTGCCGCAGTCTCAGTGTACTGCCGCAGCCTCAGTGTACTGCCGCAGTCTCAGTGTACTGCCGCAGCCTCAGTGTACTGCCGCAGTCTCAGTGTACTGCCGCAGCCTCAGTGTACTGCCGCAGTCTCAGTGTACTGCCGCAGCCTCAGTGTACTGCCGCAGTCTCAGTGAACTGCCGCAGCCTCAGTGTACTGCCGCAGCCTCAGTGCACTGCTGCAGCTTCAGTGTACTGCCGCAGCTTCAGTGTACTGCTGCAGCTTCAGTATACTGCTGCAGTCTCAGTGTACTGCTGCAACTTCAGTGTACTGCTGCAGTCTCAGTGTACTGCTGCAGCTTCAGTGTACTGCTGCAGTCTCAGTGTACTGCTGCAACCTCAGTGTACTTCCGCAGTCTCAGTGTACTGCCGCACCTTCAGTGTACTGCTGCAGTCTCAGTGTACTGCTGCAACCTCAGTGTACTTCCGCAGTCTCAGTGTACTGCCGCACCTTCAGTGTACTGCTGCAGTCTCAGTGTACTGCTGCAACTTCAGTGTACTTCCGCAGTCTCAGTGTATTGTCGCAGCTTCAGTGTACTGCCGCAGTCTCAGTGTACTGCTGCAGCTTCAGTATACTGCTGCAGTCTCAGTGTACTGTCGCAGCTTCAGTATACTGCTGCAATCTCAGTGTACTGCTGCAACCTCAGTGTACTGCCGCAGCTTCAGTGTACTGCCACAGCTTCAGTGTACTGCCACAGCTTCAGTGTACTGCCACAGCTTCAGTGTACTGCCGCAGCTTCAGTGTACTGTCGCAGCCTCAGTGTACTGTCGCAGCCTCAGTGTACTGCCGCAGCCGCAGTGTACTGCCGCAGCCTCTGTGTACTGCCGCAACCTCAGTGTACTGCCGCAGCCTCAGTGTACTGCGACACCTCAGTGTACTGCCGCAGCCTCAGTGTACTGCCGCAGCCTCAGTGTACTGCCGCAGCCTCAGTGTACTGCCGCAGCCTTAGAGTACTGCCGCAGCCTCAGTGTACTGCCGCAGCTCAGTGTACTGCCGCAGCTTCAGTGTACTGCCGCAGCTTCAGTGTACTGCCGCAGCCTCAGTGTACTGTCGCAGCTTCAGTGTACTGCCGCAGCCTCAGTGTACTGCCGCAGCCTCAGTGTACTGCCGCAGCCTCAGTGTACTGCCGCAGCCTTAGTGTACTGCCGCAGCCTCAGTGTACTGCCGCAGCTCAGTGTACTACCGCAGCTTCAGTGTACTGCCGCAGCTTCAGTGTACTGCCGCAGCCTCAGTGTACTGTCGCAGCTTCAGTGTACTGCCGCAGCCTCAGTGTACTGCCGCAGCCTCAGTGTACTGCCGCAGCCTCAGTGTACTGCCGCAGCCTCAGTGTACTGTCGCAGCTTCAGTGTACTGCCGCAGCCTCAGTGTACTGCCGCAGCCTCAGTGTACTGCCGCAGCCTCAGTGTACTGCCACAACCTCAGTGTACTGCGACACCACACTAATTACTTTCCTTCCTACTTTAGTTCATGCTAAACCATGCTTCACAACATTATCCTTTATAGTCCAGGTTGTCGGAGACTGGGAGCCTATTTACCGCTAGGTAAACAGAGGAATTAGGTGGAAGGATACATGCCCAGTCATTTCTATCCTGCTGGGAATCGAACCTGAGATCCCCGATTGTGAGTTGAGAACGAAGGTAACTCCTAAAATATATAATAACAATCAAATAATCTCACGGAGTAATAATAATAATAATTAATAGTAATAATACTATTATTAGTATAATAATAGTAATAGTCCGGTTTGTGGTCCACATATAAGAATGTGGAACAAGCAACTGAAGCTCGAATTATTTGGACTATTACATAAAATAGTCTATGACACATCTGTTTCAATGAGAAAATATGGTGGGCGGGCCGTGCGGACGATGGGATCGATCCCGCATACCTGAGGGGTGAGGGTGTAGTGTGTTAGTACGTGGGGAGGGAGGGTAGGGTGAGGGAGAGTGTCAGTGTGTAGGGAGAGAGGGATGAGGGGAGTGTTTCAGCGTCTGAGGGGAGAGAGAAGGAGGCTAAGGGGAGAGTGTCTCAGCAAGAGCAAGGTTAAAGGGGTGGGTTTGTAAAAACGAGAACACGGTGTAAGCGAACAAATGCAACACTCCGACATGCGATGCATCAGTAGATGGAGTGTTTTGATAATTACAGAAAAAAAATCTTTACATACAATCATCAGTGACAAGAGCTGCTAACAACGTTCAGTGTAAATATTTGTTTACATACAATCATCAATGTCAAGCGCTCTTACCGTTCGTTCACAATAAAGTGAACGGACTAGTTTTATTTCAGAAAATACATCCATCAAATCAAACCAGGTGGGAAGCAATGGCATATATCCTGTCAGTGGACGAACCAACTAACAAAATTCTTCCATTAACAAGACGGTGTTGACTCATGGGCTTTCAGTGGATGAGTCCAAGAATGCCAGGTGTTGCCTAGAGGGCTTCCAGGGGGGGGGGAAGGTCTCTACGGGCTATGCAGAGGCTTCCAGGAGGAAAGGTCTCTATGGGCCATGCAGAGGCTTCCAGGGGGAAAGGTCTCTACGGGCCATGCAGAGGCTTCCAGGGGGGGAAAGGTCTCTACGGGCCATGCAGAGGCTTCCAGGGGGTAAAGGTCTCTATGGGCCATGCAGAGGCTTCCAGGGGGGAAAGGTCTCTACGGGCCATGCAGAGACGTCTACATAACTTCCAGGATGAGACGCCAATGTCGAGGCTGAGTAGCTCACACGACTTTCTCCTTCGGGAACCTAGTGAGACAAGGTTAATTGTAACTCGCAGGGAATGCATGCCCTTCGTGTAATGTGAATAGCAGACCAGCACCTCCTGTGAGGCTGCTCCACCTAACTAACTGGTAAGGAGGAGGGAGGGAAGCTAGTGAGGTGCACTGCTTCACCTCTCCTCTACCATTATCAACCGTTTCATGTCTGTCACTATCCTGAGACGACCCCCCATTTCCCCCCCCCCCATGATCACTCACGCTTACTTCAGTATTCGCTAATAAAAGACCAAGCGTATTTTCCCGTGTCTCTTTGCGAAAGGTGATGACTGTTCATTTTTTAATTTGACTAGTATGCCTGGTGTTGTGTGTGTGTGTGTGTGTGTGTGTGTGTGTGTGTGTGTGTGTGTGTGTGTGTGTGTGTGTGTGTGTGTGTGTGTGTGTGTGTGTGTCAGCGCTCACAGAGGGACGAGGTATCCACTTTGCGCCACCCGGAACTCACTATAATGTCTTTTCTGTTCTTTCACATCTAACAGCATCTTCGCTCTCGTCATGTTTGGTGTTCTTCACATGCACAGTGTTCTGTTTTTTTTATACTTTCTCCCTTTTTATTGTGCCCTCTTTTCATTTTTTCCTCCCAATGTGTCCTCTCCTTTTTTTCCTCTCCCAGTGTACCCTCTCTTCTGTTTAGTCGCTTCATGTGTGCCCTTCCTTTTGTTTTTCTCCTCTCATTGTGCCTTCTCTTCTCTGTGCTGCCGTTCACTAAGTTCAGTTCCCAGACCCATCACTACTTCCTATTGGCTACCTTCACACCCCGCTCTTTTATCTTCGTTTAGATTTGCGCTGTATCATTCCAGTCATTTTCCTCACTTTATCTATCAACCCATTATCTATTAAGTTCAGGGTTCATTATCTGTCCACTATCTTCACTTCGGAGCCCATTTTGCCTTTCAGTTCCCATCAACTTCAGAGCTCATTGTTTATTATGACTTCAGAGCTAATTGACCTCACTTCAGAGCCCATATTACTCCCTCTAGTGACCATCTTCCTCTCCAGATCCCATGTTCCCCGCTCTCACTATCCCCTCTGCCTTCCTCTGCACCACATCCTTTTCCTCTGAGTGCGAGTGCCGCCCTCCCCTCACTGTGACCCCTCACTGTCTTGCCCTCACTTCAGAGCCGAGGGGCGGGGGTGTGCGGACGGGGCCAGCCGGGTGTCAGGCCCCGTGGATGATTCAGGAGGCGGCTCTGCCAGTTCTGCCATGCTCCTGGGTGGGATCCCTAAACCGCCCGACCCACCCCATACCCGCCGGACGCCAGACCACGAGGAAGACCAGGAGAGCGATCATGGCCATGGTGAGTGACGGGCGACTAGAGTAGTGGAGATGTAGAGGAGAGTTATGAGGGGGGGAGGGAGTGTTTACGCACGGGGGGGGGGGGGGGGAGAAGGGAAGGGAATTATCAGCAGAAAGCGCCAAGCACTTGCGACTATATAGCACTGGGAAGGGGGTCAGGATAAGGATTTGGGATGGGACGGGGGGAAAGGAATGGTGCCCAACCACTTGGACGGTCGGTTGGGCACCATTGTTAGGGTTAGTGTATGATGGGGTGTTAGGAGCGGTTAACTGGGGAAATTGGGGGCGTTTGGACACGGAAGAAATGAGGTTGTAGAGAGGAGTGCAAGCGTGTATAGGGAAGAGATACCATGAGCGTGGGGACGCTTTTCGAAGAGTGTATGACAGAGCACAAAGAAAACAATGGGGAAACCAACAAGGGAGATGCAAGCAAGAGAAGAGGAAAAAAAGATCAGTAGATAAATTACCAATACTATGGAAAACTAACAGGAAAATAATCAAAACTAGCCAAGATAAAAATACATCTGAGACGTTAGATGTATCACTGAGTACTCTTGTAGCAGGGAGGAGTAAGATGGTACGAATGGGAATTTGTAAATAGTAGGAAACAGTGTGCCAGTAACAGGAAGAACTTGGCTGTTGGAAGGAAGGCTTAAGCTGACGAAAAAAGAGATGAAATTTAGTGGTAGGGAGAGTTTGGATGGTGGCAGAAAGAGTTGGCTAGTGGTAGGGAGGGGTGGAGTGATGCCACGAAGAAACTGAGTATGGTGGTAGTAGCAAGGGATTTACTAGTGGCAATGTTGGGGAAGGTTTGAAGCCGGGAGGGGCAGACTGCTGGTAGGGAAGTGGGTGCTGTAGAGAGGAGACAGGGAAGAGTAGACAGGGTGTCAGAGAATGTGATTCTGATGTCAAAGGACTGTTAAAGGAAGGAGTGAACTGGTGCCAGGAATGAATCGGTCTGGTAATGAATAATCACTCAACTGAAGACAAGAGGTGTATGGGAAGGTGTTAAGAGGGCTGGTGGGAGAAAGAGGGATGGGGAGGGCAACTAGGTAGGAGCCAAGGGGTGTGACGCATGCGCGTGTCCCTCACAAACGCACGCCACTGTAGTTACAGGAAGGTGGTGTTGGGCCTCTCCTCTCAGTTCTCCCCCAGTAGCCTAATATTAGTCTGCTGCAACTCTAAACCATTCTGCATGCGCTGAACCCTTCCTCACAATCCCTAGTTGTATATAAACACCTAGTTTTGTGTGTGTGTGTGTGTGTGTGTGTTGCTTGTGTGCGTGTTGTTCTGAGTTGATTAAAATTGCATTTTCTTTCAGTTTGTACTTGTAACAGGCAAGAGCATGTCTGAACCTGTGTGTGTTGTGGGTAGGTGGAGTGTGGGTACACACACTCACCTACATGTGTCTGCGCGTCGAGTTCAATCTACTTTTCTGCTGTTATTCGTCAAATACAATGACTCCCTTCCATCATTTAACTTATTTTATATTTTTTTGAAGCTGTGTGTGTGGAGGCTGGCCCCTGGTAGTCCCATCTTCATCCTAATTACTCATATTGGTCTCTGGTTTCCAAACATGTCCTCTCTTTCTGCAATTATGCCTCAGCATCTCTCCACTATCTTGCTTATCCATCTTACTGAGAATCTTTTTCAACTCGATCATGATGATCGAGATTTCGAGAAAGATATTTTCCATCTTTCTTCCAGCAAGATGAGGTCAAGTTCCCTCCAAATATTCTTGCCGTTTAGCTCTTTCAGATATAAAACCAATCTTGAATCAAACATCTGTACCATATCTAGCTTTGCTTAGTTCTTCTTCAGTGCGGCCTTTAGGAAGCTTAAGAAGGTGACCATCAGAGCGCACCAACCGCATGAAGCGTCGGCATTAATTCATAAATTATTATGCATTAATGCCGAATCTTCATACTGTTGTGTTTAGCGCTCTGAAGGTCGCCTTCTTAAGCTTCCTACACTGAATGATCGCCCGAGTCAAGATCTGGTGATAGGTTTGGTATCATGTCTTTTTCATGGTCTCTTTATTTTCTGACTCCAGAGAGTGCTGCCCATTTATTTGTGCACTGTCTACCTGGTCCTGTGTCACCTGCCCTCATTCTCAGCACTTTGCACTTGTTTGGGTTACAGTTTGACAGCTGTCTCTTGCCAGATCTGAGTTTGTCTAGGTTCGTTTAAGCTATGATTCATCTAGCATTTACGCATCCACTTTTGAATTATTTACAAATAGTATTTCAAAATCATGGCGGCTTTATTTACATTTATTAAAAAGTTCATGAGCTCCGAAGCACTACGAGGTTGTTTATAACAGCTACAACCTTGGATTGTAATGTTTCGAAGTTAGTGAACTGTTTAATAAATGTAAACAAAGCCACCTTGATCCTTGAAAGGTGAAAGGGTTTGGTAAGTAAATGTCTCATGAATGTCTTGGAGCATTCTTCACTCGCCAATAAGTATTCGCCTATTTATGTTTACTAGGCGACCAGTAGCTCCTGGACCCGATCTTGCAGCGGCTCATCATTTATTGCAATGGCTCCTGGCCCTCTTGTTTACTATGAAACGTAGCCTAAATGAAATATGAATGGTGTTTGGTTCGGCTGGCTTCCCCTCCTTTCTCCTTCTAGCTCACTCCACTTGGTACTGAAATAGCTGTCTGAAAGAAGGGAAGGGAACTATGAGGAGGAAGCGCCAAGCCATTACGACTATATAGTAAGAGCTATCTGAAAGAGCTATTCCACTTACCTTCACACTGAAGTACTTCCTTACGTCCTGATGGCCTGTCTCAGTTGTTAGTTTCCTCTCGTCCCACCGCTGCTCAACATTGGTTTTGTTTACACTTTACACTTAAAAATATATCGTTGTGATCATCGCCTCTGCGTCGCTTATCTTCCAGCGCTATGAGGTCTAGCTCCCTCGGCCTTTCCTCGTAGTTCATTCCTCTTAAGTGCAGGAACCAGTCTTGTAGCAAACAGCCTGGGCCTTCTCTAATGTTTCTCAGTTTTTGTGAGGGTTCTATACTGGGGCGACAGATTGTAGTTTATTATTGTGTATATCGTCCAGAAGGCTTCTTGTCCATGTTCCTGGAGGCTTCTTCAATGTTTCTCAGCTATGCATATGTTGCTGATGGTATCGTATTACTGTGTGTCTCAAGTGATAGATTGTAGCATTATATCTGTTCCTGGATCCTCTTAGTTTTCTCATTCAAGCAGTTTTATTTCCCTCATCGTATGCTGCCTCCCCTCATCGTATGTTACCTCATCTCTGATACCTCCTCATCCTCGGCCTCACTCTCATCACCCTACACTTATTTGTATTACCGTAAATAACCATTTATCAGACCAGTTCTCTGGTTTGTCCAGATTTTTTTACCGTAATAAACAATCATCCTTTGTTTCGATTCGTTTCATCAGTTTTTCATCGTCCTCAAACATTGTCATATAGAATTCTACTTCCTCAGTTAGATATTTAGCAAAATCAAGAACAGTTTGGTTCTTATTATCCCTGTGGTTCTCATGTGTTATACTTTAACACTCTGATCCCTTTCCTCTCACTGTTGTTATCTGTCTCCGGTTGAATCTTACTCAGTTCAACATGCTTCTAGTAACTCCTCAAATCTGTTTGTTCCTCAAGTCTTTAAATGGGAACTTTTATGGAGTAAAGTGTCTAAGACTTCCTGGCTGACAGTAAAAGGCAGTCAGCTAACTCTTCTTTGTCATACTAAGTTCATCAGTCAGGACTTCCATTCTGTGACACCGTGATGCTTTCTTACAGAGTCTGTCCTGTCTGTGCCTTTCGATATCATCCTGATTAATTTCACTTGTATTACTCGACTTGAGAATGGTCCAGGACGGACCGAAACGTCGTCGTCCCTTCACCTTCTAGTGTGTGGTCTGGTCAACTTACTTTAGCCACGTTATTGTGACTCATCATCTGCTTCACTTGTATTCTGTTGGGTTCATTAATAGATTGATTAATAAATAATGTTTCTGGACGCATATCGACGGGGTTTATTGGTGTCATATAAATTCAAAATAAATTTAACATTTGAGTTAGGTTTGAAAGTATCTGCTTAACTTCCCAAGAGGAAGAGTCAAGTTAGAGTTGATAGACCTCAGGGTCTGTTTCCAATGTCATTTGTTTCAGCTAATTCGTTTTGTATATGCCTGTATACTCATGGCGCTGTGTTAGCGGGATCCGAACAGCACTTCCTGTGCCTGCCTCATAATTGCCAATTGACTTTCATAGTTAAGATTCATCATACATATAAATGCGTGTATGGAGTCAGCCTCAAGTTTCTCTCAGTCTCGTCCATTCCACTTCTACACTACGCTAACACTGAAAACTTTCTTAATACCCCTGACTTATCTGTGTGTTCAGCCTCCAACTATGTCCCCCTAGTGCTGATTTTCCTCCTTTTCAAATACTCTACCCTTGTCTATACTCACTATTTACACCCGAGCGTATTTTATAAGTCGTATTGAGGTACTCTTTGTCCTGTGTCGTGAAATCTAGCTCCTGTAGCCTTTCTTCATAACTTATGCCTCTCAATAGTTAAGATGTACTTAGTTAAGAAGGATTTTATTCTGGTACATCATATTCAAGTATTGATCTTACATTCTTATTGTGTAGTGTCCTTGATGATTCATTGGTCAAGTTCCTTTAGGCGACCTGATGTTTGCCCACATTGCATAAATACTGATGAAAGCCAATTAATATGAGCTGTAGGAAAGAGATTTGGTGAAATGTCTACTCCTAGGTTCATCTTTTAGCGAATACTCGACGTTGCTCCCCTTCGAGGTTATAGACTGTCACAGGTCTCCTGTCCCAAGTTGACCAAACCACACACTAGAAACTGAAGAGACGACGTCGTTTCGTCGCCCAATCGACTTGATCGACTTCGGTCCAGGAGGGACCGAAACGTCGTCGTCTCTTCAATTTCTAGTGTATGTGGTTTGGTCAACATTTTTCAGCCACGTTATTGTGACTTTT